TTGTGTATGATGTATGTATGTATGTATGTGTGTGTGTATGTGTATGTATGTGTGTGAGTGTGTATGTATGTGTGAGTGTATGTATATATGTGTGAGTATATGTATGTAATAATAATAATAATAATAAAAGGTTTATGTATGTGTGTGAATGTATGTATGTATGTGTAGTGTATGTATGTATGTGTAAGTATGTATGTATGTATCCAAACCTCCCTATCCTGCCCTAAACCTTCCTATCCTGCCCTAAACCTCCTATCCTATGGTCACTGCTATCCCGCCAATGAGACCCATCCTATTACCTCACTCCTACATTCCTACAGATCCTTCAGGAGGTGAGAAGACCCCCATCCTATTGTGGGTTAGAGTCTTGGGGCAATTCCGACGCCATATTGGTTTTTGTCCTTTTTTAGGGGCTTTATTTCTGTGAGTCGGTCAGTATGTGTTCTAGAATGTATTGTGGGCAGTGGGTGGGGAGAGGGTGGGTGGGTGTCAAGAGAGGTGGGTGGTGTAGGAGGGGGGTGGGGAGTCGGACCTGAGCAATAAACCAATGAGAAAGACTCGCAAGGAACGCCACACCAGATAACGCGGGAAATTATCTTACGCGCGCATAATCTGCAGTCGTGATTGGCTGAGTTATTTTACCCGCGCATTTTATATTACGATTGGCTGAATTATTTGCGCGCGCGCATTATTTGTCATCGTGATTGGTTGAATTATGTTCCTTGCGCATAACTTTATTATGATTGACTAAATTGCTTTCCACTTGCTTATCTTTCGTCGTAATTTAACTACAACGTTTGGCACGAGCAGAGCGGGCGTGTGAGTCGTCTTAATTGGCTGAGAGTTGATCTAGACGTAAACATCTCACCAGGATTAGGCAATTATTTACGCGCGAAAATCTGCATCTTGATTGGCTAGATTATTTTACTCATGAAAATCTTGAATCCTGATTGGCTAAATTATTTTACGCGCGAAAATATTACATCATGATTGGCTAAAACTGTCTTGCGCGCCAAAATCTTACATCATGATTGGCTACAAAAAAGTCTACCCGCTAGCATATCTTGGATCACGATTGGCTGAAATTGTCTTGTCCGTGTTTGGTGCCGCTCGGATCTTGAATTTTAATTGGTTGATTTGTTCTAGTATCCGATGAGTTGAGTTGTCTGAACGAGGCAGTTACTACCCATTAACTCTAAAACAAGCAGAATGACACACGACCCCAGATGAACGATAATTATTAAATGTTCTCTCTCTCCTCGCTGGAATAGAAACCTGATCTATAAACCGGTATCATTGCGGGTCACGTGGAAGAGAAAGAATAGGTGACGTTATGACCACGAAGAGTGGGATGGAGGGAGTGTGATAATAAAGATGGAAAGGAGGAAAAGTGGGAGGGAGAGGTTGAAGAAGTGATAGAGAAGATGAAAGAATGGGAGGGAGGGAGGATGGAAGAGGGAGAGGGGTATGTGATGGAGGGAGGGAGGGAGAGAAGAGAAGAGAGGAAATGAAAGTGAAGGATGGAGGAGGAGGAATAAAGGCATAAGTCAGGAAGGTATAGATGGAGAGGTGTGTAGGAGGAATAGAGAGGAGGGAAGAAAGACAAGGAAGGAAGGAGGGGGATGTAGGCGAGGAGGTTGACATTCTCGCGCGTGATTGGACCGAGTGGTTGGGGAGTAAACATGAGACTACCATCTCCCTCCCTCCCCTTCCTTCCTTCCTTCCTTTCCTTCTTCCTTCCTTCCTTCCTTCCTTCTTTCCTTCCTTCTTCCTTCCTTCCTTCCTTCCTTCCTTCCTTCCTTCTTTATTTCCTTCTTCCTCCACTTCTTCTCTTCCTTCCTTCCTTCCCTTTCCCTTTCTTTTATTTCCTTCTTTCCTCCACTTCCTTTCTTCCTTCCTTCCTCCCTCCACTTCCTTCCTTTCTCCATTCCTTCCTTCCTCCCTCCACTTCCTTCCTTCATTCCTTCTTTCTTTCTTTCCTCCTCCTCCTCCCTCCCTCCCTCCCTCCCTCCTCCTCCCTCCCTCCACTTCTTTCCTTCCTCCCTTCCTTCCTTCCTTGCACCACCTGGGTCCTCATTATCATCTGGATCCCAACACGTAGTTTCTGTTTCATGAGGTCATCTGTATTTTCATCTGACCATCTGTGGCCCAATATAGTTCAATCATGGCCATTTCAGACCAACTATTGCTTCCTGTGACTGTCTGTGGCCACCTTTAATCCTGATATTATCGTGTGGAAATGGGAATGGCAGCTAGGTTAAGTTTGGTTATGTTTGGTTAGGTTAGGTTAGGTTAGGAATATAGTTATGAAGGAGTAACTTACCTAGTGTGGGGGGCAAGGGGGACTCTGGAGGGGGTGAGGGAGGAAGGAAAGAATCAGCCTCGGATGTTCCTGTGAGACTTGTATTAATCCTTACTTCCGGATCAGCTCTGTGGTGACCTGGGGCACGCGGGGCAGAGCGGGGCGGGGCTTCATCACCTCCTGTATCCCCCCTCACTTCCCCCTGTGCCCTCCCTCCTATCCCTCCCCCATCCTTCATGTTCCTCCCCTTCCTCTCATCCTCCTTGTCCCCCCTTCCCCGTCTCCTTTCCCCTGTCCCCCTTCCTCCCTGTCCCCCTTCCCCACTGTCCCGTTTATCCCCTTCTTCCCTGTAGCCATCTTGTCCCCATGTATCCCCCCCTCAGCATCCGCCATAAGGACAATCCGCGACCTGACACTATTTTTAGGTGGACCAACAGGATCTCAGCCCCGCCGGAAATGTGGTCAACTTTGGTGTGGGGCCGCCAATCCCTGCATGGGTCTGGATAATGGGGGAGGGTCTGTTGGAGGGGGATGGGGGCATGGGTGAGATGACACTTGTCCCATGTGGTTTGTGAGGGCAGTGACGGGAGTGTGGTGCTTGAGGAAGGAGGGCAGTGTCTTAAGGCCTTGTGTACTGTCCGTGGTCGTGTGAGGACCTTAAGTACTGTACGTGGTGGAGGTCGTGAGACTCCTAAAGTACTGTACGTGACGGAGGTCGTGGAGGACTCCTAAAGTACTGTACGTGGTGGAGGTCGTGTGAGACTCCTAAAGTACTGTACGTGGCGGAGGTCGTGTGAGGACCTCATACTGGTGGAGTGTGAGGATCTAAAGTACTGACGTGGCGGAGGTCGTGTGAGGACTCCTAAAGTACTGTACGTGGCGGAGGTCGTGTGAGGAGTCTGTACGTGGAGAAGACTGTTAAACCTCCTGGTATAAATACTGTACGTATCAAGACTCGTTCACGTGAAAGACGAGCTCGTGCAATAGCGAGTGTGTGTAGTACCGGTATACGAGTGTGTGTGTCGTACCGGTATACGAGTGTGTGTAGTACCGGTATACAGGTGTGTAGTACCGGTATACGTGGTGTGTACCGGTATACAACAGTGTGTTGTACCGGTATACAGGTGTGTACCGGTATACAGTGTGTGTGTAGTACCGGTATACGAGTGTGTAGTACCGGTATACGAGGTGTGTAGTACCGGTAACGAGTGTGTGTAGTACCGGTATACGTGGTTTACCGTATACAACCACAGTGTTGCGTCTTGTACCGGTATCGAGTGGTTTATAACGGTAGTACGATCTGTGTAGTACCGGTATACGAGTGTGTGTGTAGTACCGGTATACAGTGTGTGTGTAGTACCGGTATACGATGTGTGTGTGTGTAGTACCGGTATACGAGTGTGTGTGTGTAGTACCGGTATACGAGTGTGTGTGTGTAGTACCGGTATAGTGTGTGTGTGTGCCAGTGTGTGTGTAGTACCGGTATACAGTGTGTGTGGTACCGGTAGTGTGTGTGTAGTACCGGTATACGAGTGTGTGTAGTACCGGTATACAGTGTGTAGTACCGGTATACGAGTGTGTGTGTAGTACCGGTATACGAGTGTGTGTGTAGTACCGGTATACGACGAATTAACAAGTTGAACTCGTTTATAATCGGTGGTTTGGGAAGACGAGTCTGTGTGTCTGTATGTGTGAAGGTTGCCAGACTTGTAGCGCTGGTCTTGTGTGTTGCTGGAGGACTCTACAGTAAGGTGTGTGTGTGTGTGTGTGTGTGTGTGTAACGAGTTGGACTGGTTCATGTTTAACTTAGTAACAAGCTGAGGTGTGTGTGTGTGTGTGTGTGTGTGTGTGTGTGTGCTTTTATTTGTATTATTATTATTATTATTGTTATTGTTATTATTGTTATTATTATTATTATTATTATTATTGTTATTATTATTGTTATTATTATTATTATTATTATTATTATTACTATTAAATAGTTATCAGTCTCTAGCAACAGCCATTTCAGCCCCGGTATATAGTTAGGTAATTAACGATGCAGTTGGTGTGGTTGGTTAGTTAGTGACGTGGTTAATGTGGTTAGCTAGTTAGTGACGTGGCTGCTGTGGTTGGGTATAGTTAGCTCAGTCTTGGACGCAGTTAACGACGATGTGGTCCAACAGCCTTACACACTTCGTGGTTTCTGTAGTTAAAAAAAATGTAGGTGGTAGCGGTAGTAGAAAGGGTGGCGTGACGTCATTAATGGTCGTGACGTCATTAATGGTCGTGACGTCATCAATGTGCGTGATGTCATTAATGTGCGTGACGTCATTAATGGGCGTGACGTCACCAGTACTGTAGGGGGGTTGACGTCATGGCTGGGTATAGCTGGTTAAGAGTGTAGCAATACCCAGGGGCATGTTTACCTGTCATGTTTTATGGTTACAGGTGGGTAATTAGTGTAGGTGCCCGGGCAGGTGGTCCAGAAGGGGTGTGTGTGTGTGGGAGGAATGAGTAGTGGAGAGATGTGTGTTGGAGGAATGGTGGAGTGGGAAGGAGTGGGGGAGAGGGAATGAAGGTGATGAATGAGTGGTGTGTGTGTGTGTGTGTGTGTGTGTGTGTGTGTGTGTGTGTGTGTGTGTGTGTGTGTGTGTGTGTGTGTCCCCCAAAAAATCAATTATTACTCTTTATTTACATCTCTCCCGCCGTGTTTCAGGAGGTGATGGTGGGGAGGTGAGAAGAAACTAGTGGTGGACGCCCGTGACCCTGTACACCACCACCAGGATGACCTACCACTTCACCACCACCAGCAGGAGACCTATCACCACCACCACCAGAAGTTACCTCATGTTGGTGTTGGTCATGTTAGTGTGGCAGAGTGTTGCGTCCACAGCTGCTAGAAACGGTCTCTCTCTCTCTCTCTCTCTCTCTCTCTCTCTCTCTCTCTCTCTCTCTTTATACATTATTATTAAGATTTATTCATTATTTTATCTTTATTTTACCCATCAAGAGGTATTTTTCACTCACCTGTAATGTCTGTGTGTTGAAGGAGGAAAGACAGGTAAGTCCTTTAATTAATTATCTACCAACACCTGAACTTTTTACCTAGAGAGGATTTTCGGGGGTTCCTGTTACCTTTCCCCCTCTCTCTCCCTCCCTCTCTCCCTCCCTCATTCCTCTAGTCACCCTCTCACTCCCCCTCTCTTACCCCTCTCTCTCCCCCTGCTAATTTAACTCCTGATCAACTCGATGTTGTTGTAATGTGTATGTATGTATGTATGTATGCATGTATGTATATATGTATGTGTTTTTGTGTATGTACAGTATGCATGTTTTGAGGTGTGTGTGTGTGTGTGTGTGTGTGTGTGTGTGTGTGTGTCCATTATGTGGGCGTACTGGTCGTGAAGGCATGGGTGAAGGTTGATGGTGAAGGAGTTAAGGAGATGTGTGTGTGTGTGTGTGTGTGTGTGTGTGTGTGTGTGTGTGTGAGTGAGGGCAGGTGACCGTGACCCTTGGACTGTGTAGCACAAGTGAGGGCTGCCCACCATTCATTCCCCTCCCCCTTCCCTCCCCCTCTTCACCTTCTTCCCTCACAAGGTCATCCTCAAACACCTCTTCCATCCTCTTTACCCCCCCCTTCTCCCTCTACACACCCTCTTCTCCCACATTCCCTCCTTGATTTTCGAACCAGGAGGAAGGAAAGGTGGGGGTTATGAACTGAGGAAGGAAGGAAGGAGTGAGGGAGGAGGAAGGAGAGGTGGGGGTTATGAACTGAGGAAGGAAGGAGTGAGTGAGGTAGTGAGAGTCTGGGAGGGAGAGGAGGTAGAAGAATCATTTCCATAAGTACACACAGCCAAGTGGAGCTTCAGGGACCGCCTCATGATCCGCACTTCTCAGGGGGTGGGGGTGTGGTCAGGGGTGTGTGATGCTGTGGGTGGGGTGTGTGGTGCTTTGTGTGGGGTGTGTTGCTATGCGGTGTTCCGTGTGGTGCTGTGTAATAATTAACGTTTTTTGAAGGAGCATGGCAGCCGGAAGGCTGAAAATATACAGTTACGTAATTGGGGAATGGGTCACTTGATTAACAAATAATATACAAGTACCATAAGTGATACAAATATGATATATAACAACTAGGTGGGGAGAAGGTTATACTACAGGGCATTTTAACATAATGACAGTGCAAAAAAAATAATATTGACGGGGAGTGAATACGCTGGTTGATTACGAGTTGTTGATAATTTTTACAATGGTTTGGACTGGGCTGTTCTTATAGCGACCAGTACGTGCTCGTATGGGCTAGATGCAGTTGTGGTGTCGAACAGCAATTCGCGGACGAGGGATCTCGTGTGGAAGTAGGAGCCGGTGTCGAGGATGGTGCATAAGTTTCTCACCAAATTTGCAGATGAGGTCATGGTGATGGTCAGAGAGAGCCGAGAGGGTCAGTGTGTTGAGCGCTTCTTGATATGTGGAGTAGGAGGGGGAGAGAATAGTCTTGCATGCCCTCTTTTGCACTTTCTCTAGGTGTGGGGGTATGTGTGGTGGTGTGTGTGAAGGGGTGTGTTAATATGTGGTGCTGTGTAGTGCGGAGAGATAGTGAGAGACAGAGGAGGGATGGTGAGACAGGAGAGATAGTGAGAGACAGAGGAGGGATAGTGAGAGACAGAGGAGGGATAGTGAGAGACAGAGGAGGGATGGTGAGAGACACTAGGGATAGTGAGAGACAGAGGAGGGATAGTGAGAGACAGGAGGGATGGTGAGAGACACTAGGGATAGTGAGAGACAGGAGGGATGGTGAGAGACAAAGGAGGGATGTTGAGAGACAGATAAGGAGAGGCTACCTAGACCACCTTGATCTGAGAGGCACTGTGGTGGTGTCCGACCGTGGCCTGACCGGAGCTGGGGGACACAACCCACGCTGACCCGGGTAACCCCTCTGCACGTCTCCTCCCTCACACACACACACAGAAACATACACAAGACGCTCCCTATCGATGTTTGGACAAACTTACGTGTGAGATTATCATAGCCATTTAGGTCTCAGGCGGATTGTGTGTGTGAGAGAGAATGGGGCGGGGGGTGACAATTTAGGCATTTCCTGGACTCTTCACAGAAAACAGTATTTCCCCCTTAGTATGTGCGTAAACAAACACCGTGGTGATCCCGTGAAACACTAAACACTGCCAGGCCTCACACACACTCCCTACACACACACACACACACACACCTACACACACACACACACACACCCTACACACACACACACACACACTCCTACACACACACACACCCTACACACACACACACACACACACACACACACACACACACACACATTCTCTCTGGTTAGTATACTTCATTTTATTATTATTATATTAATTTAGTTTCTAAATAATTTTTTTTTTTAATTTCTAGAGTTTTTCTTTTTTATTTTTTTTATTGTACCTGTAGCTAAAATAATGGATAATGATAATAATATTAATTGCAATAGTAATGATGATGATTTTGATAATATCAAGAAGGTAGCGGAATTTAGTAATAATAATAATAATGTTGGGAATACAGTAGTAATGATAATAAGAATACTATAATATTAATAATCATAATGGTACTGACAATAGTAATAATAAAAAATTAATAATAATATTTACAGTTAGTATGGCAACACTAATAATAATAATAATAATAATAATAATATAGTAATAATAATAATAATAGTAATAATAATAATAGTAATAATGACAATAATAATAATACAGTAATAATAATAATAATACAGTAATAGTAATAATAATAATAATAATAATAATAATAATAATAATAGTAATAGTAATAATAATAATAATAATAGTAATAGTAATAATGATAATAATAATAGTAATAATAATAATAATAATAATAATAATAATAATAGTAATAGTAATAATGATAATAATAATAGTAATAATAATAATAATAATAGTAATAATAGTAATAGTAATAATAATAGCTAATAATAATAATAATAATAATAATAATAATACAGTAATAATAATCGTAATAAAGATAATAATAATAATAATAATAAATAATAATAATAGTAATAATAGTAATAATAATACAGTAATAATAATAGTAATAAAGATAATAATAATAATAATAATAATAATACAGTAATAATAATCGTAATAAAGATAATAATAATAATAATAATAATAATAATAATAATAATAATAATAGTAATAATAGTAATAGTAATAATAATAATAATAATAATAATAGTAATAATAGTAATAGTAATAATAATAATAATAATAATAATAATAATAATAATAATAATACAGTAATAATAATAGTAATAAAGATAATAATAATAATAATAATAATAATAATAATAATACAGTAATAATAATAGTAATAAAGATAATAATAATAGTAATAAAGATAATAATAATAATAATAGTAATAGTAATAATGATAATAATAATACAGTAATAATAAAATAATAATAATAATAATACAGTAATAATAATAATAATAATTATAATAATAATAATAAAAGCTTTAAATGTACAATTAAATCAATTTTACAAGATTTTATTTATATCAATATTTAATTCCCATCCGTGACCGACCGCCAGACCCCTGTGCCTCATTCTTAAAATTCCGGGTTGTGATAATGTTATTCTGAATATTTTCCCCTGACCTGAGGATGTGAGAAAAATATGTGATTGGCTCAGATTTGAGGGTCAAAGATGGCGGCTAAACTACACCCAAGACTATACTGTAATCAGAGTCTTTCTCACGTCTCTTGTTAAGGCGGAAATTTAACGTCGTGATCTTTTGGGGGTATGGTGGAGGCTGCTGGCTCGCCCTATGGTCCTTCCCTCGGCGCGAAAACTGACGCCTCCTCCTCTGTGTAACGCGACCTCCTGTCCACCACCACCGCCAGTGTCCCGGGGAGATGCCTCGACGGGGGCGTGTCCCTTGGGGTCGGGGGCGAGGTGTATATCCCGAGCGGTGGTCGTGGGGAGTACAGAGGGCGTCCCATTGTCCCGAGGGTACAGGGAGTAGGTAGGGTGGGGAGAGTGTCCTAGTTGGTGGTAATTAGGTTCGGTGTGGGTGTGATGGGCGTGTAGTGGGCGGTCTGTAGTGTACTGACGGGCGGGCTAGACGGTTGTAAGGATGTAGCGAGCGTCCCGGGCGCTATAGTACGGGCAGCCATCACACTCCTAAATGTCTTTAATTAAGCCATCACCTTCAGCCATACACACCAAGCCCACTCGGTTGGTAGGAGGGGGGGTCTTGATCATATCGGGTGGCACTGGCTTGGCACGGTGCCCCCCTCTCCTCTCAGGGTGTGGTCAGGTCAGGTCAAGTACCCCGTGGGAGGGCACCGCGGGCCACCCCCTAATTCTCTGTTGTTGGTGATAAGTGACCTCTGTCAGGCAGGGGTCCTCTGTCACTGTCCCTAATGGTGCTGAGTGTACTAACCCCAGGTACACTTATACTTAATAGTTGTTGTTGTTGAGACAGTTCATTTAGCCAGAAGAACACAGATACAGAGTGGATAATGATAACAATATTAACATGGCTGAGCCAGTTGAGAACCTGAGCTCTCTTTGAGGCACCTGATATATACTGTACATATATCTCAAGGAAGTATTATGTAGCATTTAGTATCATCTGGAATAGTACAATAGTATGGTGGTAATAAGAACATCTCAGAATGTTACCAAGGTTATCACTTCAATATTAATTTATTTTATTTATTTTTCTTTACATTTATATTATGAGTATATACACACTTTACAGTGGAGTTGTTATACATAAATATGATAAGGGAGGGAAGCAGTACAACAGGGGTTGTATTAAGGTGGAACAAGAGGACAGAGCTGTCAGTATCATGTCAAGTTTGCAAATATATTTATTACAATGGTAATTTCTACCAACATGATCATTTATGATATGACGGTTTTGGTGGTACAATATAAACATGAATATACAGTAATATTACAAAAATATTAATACTTAGGCAATAGATATTTTTTAAGAGATTTAAAGGAAGGGAGCGTAGTCTTTGCTGGGATGGGTGGGGGTAAGTTGTTCCACACCTTCACATTTTATGGAAGTCTGGAACTGAGAGGAGCGCATGGGGGGTGGGGGGGTGGGGGTCTTAGTAGCTCTGGGTGTCTTACCTAAGGTGTACAATCAACAAAAAATTTTCTGCTCCTTCATGATGTTATACAATATGACACACCGGACCAAGAATTCTGAACAGCACTCATTTACGTGGGTGATTCCTGTTAATTTCTCTGTATTAACTATATGTGATGTAAAAAGTACATCATACTGGTTATACAATGCATCAAACAACTAGAAATACCAACCTTACCAAATTAACATGGCCTCAGTCAGTGATCGTTGCAGAGGCCATCAGACCAAAGGGTGTAGAATATTTTTTTTTTGCTGACTACATGTACTATCCCAGGTGCACATGTACTTACCCCAGGTGTACATGTACTATCCCAGCTGCACATGTACAGTAGCTAAAACAACTATCTGTGCAGGTGGGGGTCGATATGCTCCCAAATTTTACGTGTGACTAGTGACAGCCCTCATATACCAAAATTTATCGTCCATGGTCTCATATTGTTTCCCACAAAGTATGCACAGATAGTTGTTTTAGCTACTGTACTTACCCCAGGTGTACATGTACTTACCCCAGGTGTACATGTACTTACCCCAGGTGTACATGTACTTACCCCAGGTGTACATGTTAGAAAAATCCATAAAATTTAGGTATATTTTGTATTTTGCATTGTTGACATTTTAGTTGCCTTATATACAAATAAACAAACAATTAAATAAATAAATAAATAAATAAATAATGAGAGTGTTAATTCCTTTCGTACAGGTTGTGATGTCTGTTTGAATGCTGTTCTTACTGTAAAGCCAAAGTGTGTGTGTGTAGCGTTGGTGAGAGGCAGTGTGGTGTGTGGTGATGGTTTGTTGTCATGGTGTGGTGGTGGCTTGGTATGTTTGGTGCTGTTGTCATGGTGTGGTGATGGTTTGTTGTCATGGTGTGGTGGTGGCTTGGTATGTTTGGTGCTGTTGTCATGTGGTGATACAGTGTGGTAGCGGAGATACAGTGTGGTAGCGGAGATACAGTGTGGTAGCGGAGGATAAGTCTTCATCACACCCTGGTAGTCAGACCCCCGTGACGGTCTCTCCTCCAGTAGGGTGACACGCCAGACTCCCGCTTGTTCTGGGAGACGACCCTGAATGAACTACGGGCATATGAATGAACTCCGCGCTGTGTATATAACTACGGGCGCATGAATGAATTGCGCTCCATGTATAACTACGCGCTGTGTATGTAACTACGCGTCATGTGTATAACTACGGACACGTGAATGAACTGCGTGTCGTGTGTAAGACTACGGCCTGGGTGTATTTCTCCAGTGAGAAAGTTCCTCCAGGTGTGTCTGTGTTGCTTGCAGGTGTGTCATAGTGTCTTACAGGTGTGCCGTGTTGCCTTCAGGCGTGTCTCGTTGCCTACAGGTGTGTCGTTGCCTACAGGTGTGTCGTGTTGCCTACAAGTGCGTCGTGTTGCTTACAGGTGTGTCGTGTTGCCTGCAGGTGTGCCGCGTGCTTGCAGGTGTTATTGACAGTGGACAAGACTACCAACTGCGCAGCCTTGTTGACGGTGGTGGCTGGTAACGGACAGGAGGAGGCAGGGGCCGCCCGTTTTTCTATGGGTGGGCTGTGGGCTGGGCGGGGTGGGCGGCCTCCCTCCCCCAGATGGCTCCCAGATGTGCCACCACCGCCGGAAACCCCCTGCGCATTTTTTCCCCAAGTTGTCCCATAGAGAGGACGCGGCGCGGAGGAACTTAAGAAGCGTGTTAAACTCTGTGTTATCACATATGTGGCGCGGCGAAGGGACGGCTCCCGCCTCCACCATCAAACTGCTCACCAAGAAAGTCGATCTAGGTTACTGGAGGAGGTATTCTCGCCGGCCTTGTTGACGTGATAGGTATCTGAGGAGTGGTGTAGAGAGCATATCAACGCGGCGAGAGGACCGTTTGGAAGGGGCGACAAGACAGGAGTGGGCCGTGAGCCGTGTAGATGATATGCAGATTGAGGGACGGCGCGCCACAACCGGTCCTCACAGTCGTGCTTCTTTACATTGCAAATCAGTCCGGTTTGATCGCCAATCATGGCCAGACTTGGACGACGGCGGACGGCCATTGGCTAAGGGTGTAGAAAGCAGGCGTGGGATTGGTGGAGGGTACAATGACAAAAGCCAATCACAAGTGGCCTGGGGAAATGATGGATGGAGCGCCAGGTCGGACACATGACAACATTCACGGCAGTCGCCACCAGTCTCCAGCAGACCTCCATAAAAAAGGTTGAGAAGCTCCTCCCGGATTATATCAGGTTTTATCTCTGGCTGTATAATATATACTCGTCAGTGTCACCCTCTTATCGATTACTAATGAAGCCACGACGAGGAATCACCAACGAGACGCCGTGGTGGTGGTGTCATTTACATAAGTGTACTGCCTGCCGCCTGTGGTCGCGCCCCGCCCCGCCTCCCACACTCACACACACACATGTGATAACAATCCTCTTGTACACCCTTACCAATTACATATATGATGTTTTAACCATCACTCTCAGGTTATATTAGTGTCAAATATATGTATGTTTGTTTAATTTAATAATATGGTACACCAGCGGGCAAGGAACAACTGTGTCTTGTGACGGAACCCGGGGAGTGACATCTAATTCCCCCAAACACGTACTAACATATTCCGAAGAAGAAGAAAAAAAAGTTTATATCTATATATAAACCCGTCGTGCATTAAGACACACGAGACAGACGGACAAATACCTACGGTTGTCTTGTCAGAGGGAAAGTCCGCGGCTATGAAAGGTTTTAAACAAGAGAGGCGAGGCAGATATACGTGTGTGTGAAGTGAATGAATGGCTGAGTTATTGAAGGTTGATGGTACACCTTGACACGTTACTACCGTCGTCATAGATACCTGTTGCCATTATAGATAACTTGCCATTATAGGTACCTGTTGCTATAGGTACCTTATAATAAATATAACTAGTTAACACACACAAGAGTAGAAAATATCCGTAAAAGGTTGATGATGATGAATGTGATTAAAATATAACTTCAAAATAACTATAATTTATATACGTATTATTTATTCGTTTATCGATAATTCAAACTGTCCAAAATGTAGAGACGATTATCATGTTTATTTACATACCTTAATTTACCTATTTTTATAACCTTTTTAATAACATGTAGATTAATTTACCTGTCCACCCGGTATCCCAGCTGTAGGTACATTGGGTATTGATGGTAATATAATCCTTGTATAATTAGTGATATTTTTATTCGACATCTTTATTTGTATTATTATTGTTATTAAACTTATTAGTATTATTAGTAGTAGTATTCAGAGTAGTTTCTTAATATTTATTTTCATTTGTAATTAGATAAGATAGTTGGTGGGTGAGTTAGACGTTCCTAAACACAGACTTATAACATGGACGTGGACAGGTCCCTGGGTAGTGTGTAATGACATACATGAGTTAGTGGTGGGAGGCGGGTACGTTTTCTTTGAATCTTCTGTTATAATGGGAGGCTGTTTACCCTAGACTTATTTAATTTATTCTCGCGTAATAATCAAAGTGTAAACCTACGAGAAGTTAATAAAAATAATATAGTATAATTGTAATGGGATTTTTTATTTATTAAAATTTGAGAGTGAAATTGGGTGTTTAAGAAATAATAGAGAATGGAAATATCTTAGAGATTCTCAAACGCTTAAAAGATGTTTAAAATTAATGTATTTTCTTGTTTCTCTTTTATAGATGATTACGATTACGATCTTGTTGAGGATGGTGGTATGGAGGTGATGGAGGGGAGCGGACTGAACGTGCCACACCGCCAGAGGAAGGTGACAGTGGGTGACCGAGTGCGCTTCAAGTGTCGCCCCGAGAGCTTTGCCAGTCTCCCTCCTCCAGGCTTTACCGGTACTTGGTACTTCGATGACCTACCACTGCACCAACTACAGAATGCGCGCGTCAAAGTCACAGAGAACAGGTCAGTTTAAAAATTCCATCCTCCCTTGCTCTTCAACCCCAAAGTATAATAATTCTGGTTCTTAACTTAATCAATATATCTTTGATCACTTCTTTAACTTTAATTATAGGTTAATTACAGGTACATACCGAAGATGTCATGAATGGGTGTTGCTGTAATTATACATTTTTTATTACCACCATCCATGATAAGGCATAAATTACATCTTAACATCACTGGAGGAAACTGTTGTACGTGTTTCATATTTGAACAGTTAAAATTATTATCTTTATAAACCTTCTGAATCAGTCTGTGTTTATATAATTTTTCTGAATCCGTGAATCACTAATCTGTTTTAATGTAACTCAGAATCAAACAAGGTTGTGGGTATTTATGTTGTGGGATACAAGTTGTTTGGTTCCCTCTCAGGATGGGATGGAGAAAGGAAACTCACAATGTGCTCTCTGTATACATGTTGTATTGGATGTACAATGCAGCTTGATGCTGGGAAGGCAGCATGGTTACAAGCGTGATGTAGAGAGAGCTGGTTGGTGAGGATGCTCAGAGGAGGACAGCTTGTGGGTCGCCATGCTCGCCGGCGGGAGCGAGGACCGCAAGGCAGGCGGAGGAGGAGGAGGTGTTGCTTGTTGGTTGGTGTAGGTAGAAAGAGAGGGTGGTCACCACGAGGTCAGGTCTTAAATAGCGGAGGTAGGCGTGGCTTAGTAGTTGACCTCCGTCATGTAAGGCGGCGCTGGTTGACCTAGACCACGAGGCATACACTGGGGAATTCGCGGGGTCGGCTACCCAGCGACAAACAGCATTTGTAAGGGAGAAATCCACTACAATGTTACATACAGAGATGTGTGTTGAGGATACTGTTTTATACAAGAGTGTAGGTAAATGTTGGTGTTTAGTATACACCCCCATTTTAAGCTTGTTTGTTTATTTTTGTGGTTGGTGAACAGACTGTGGCCTCGCCTACGAGTCAAGACAGCGAGGGTGGAGGATGGAGGGGTGTACGCCTGTCAGTGGACCAGCACAGACAACAGACACGGCTGGGTCAACTACACACTTATCGTGGAAGAGGACTCCCCCAGACCTACTCTACCCGCGGTACTTACACTGATTACTGAATACAAAGACTAGGGACCAGTGGACCACCCGCAGATTAGACAATCCAGCTTATTTTCCCATAAAGGTTAACCACCCTAATGCTACCTGGAGAGTTGGCTAGTATTTAGGATGGTTAATTTTCAGGTGATATAAGTTGTGTGTATCTTCAGGTGATCCAAAATTAATTTGTACTAGAACAGGTTGACACTTGTTTTGTTGTTTATTTTTGGCCCACTCATAGTTCTGGAATCTGTGCAAACTTTTAATCCTGATGAAACTGTAGCATGAATTATTACTGATGTTATATGACAGGAAAACTAAAGTTAACTTGATGAACCAAATAATGCTCACTTATATGTTGGTTAAGTTAGGTTTCATTAGGTTTAGATTAGTTGGTTTATGTTATGCAGTTGAAGTAATATACACCATAGCTCTTCTGGGCACCTAAGCTTTTGTTGATACCATGATTGTGTGTAACATTTTCACCATCATTGTATATATCATTGGGTCTTAGAAATACAGTGTTTTATATTCACTTGTGTTGAAATTTAAGACGAATAATTATCTAGATAAGTTTTTTTTTTTTTTGCTCTTGTACAGGGATTTGAATATGACTGCGGTGATTTGATATTTAAACAGAACTATGAACTGATGATAATGTGATGGTGTGTTTCAGGCCTTGTACGCTGATAATAAGGTCATGGACGTAGAGGTAGGGGAGGACACCACAGACGTGGCTCCTATCTTCACCAAGGAACTTAATCTCCTGATGATCAAACCCGCTGGCAATGTTGCTGAGCTCAAGTGTCATGCTCGTGGACCCAATCTTAACACAACTTGGTACAAGGTTAGTTTAAGACAGAAGTTATGTGTTAATGTCAGTGTATGTATGTACAGTATGTTTGTACAGAATGTTTATGTGAGGCAGCGAGGCATAATTAGAATTTCCTCCAACGTTCACATCATCTTGGGGGCGTCATGCAAGCACTCAAAATATATAAGATAGAAAATTCGTCCTCTGTCTTTGGCTGGGTGATGAGGGCCACAGTCAGGACACATACACTTAACAACTTTTTCTTACTGTAGGTACAGATAGCCTCATAACTTCCACATGCAGTCACTAAAAGGCAGTATATTTTCGTTTCTAGGATGGGGGGAAGCCGTCCCGTCAGCTGGGGGACGTGAGGATCAAAGGGTCAACACTCAAGATGGAGAACCTGGTGCCAACAGACTCGGGCAACTACACCTGTGTCATCTCCAATGCTTATGGATCCATCAACCACACTTACGCCTTAGAAGTTATTGGTGAGTAAAGTATTTTAATATATGAGATGACCTTTATAGTATTAGTTTCATTTATTACTTAAGAATGGGCGTTATTTTTTCTCACTCATAGGTTAACCATGTACTGCACAAAGTAAAATAAGAAATGTAGGTACAGTAATGAGAAATGTTATGATAATCTTTAAGTTTAAGTGGAAATTGCATGACATTTTAGATAATTTAATTCTTTTATTTATTTAAGATTAATTTTTGCTGGTGAAAGTTGCCCTAAGAAACAGGTAAGAGTAGACATGTACTGATCAGAGGTCATCAGGGGGATTATAATTCAATACAGTGGTGCTGGAGGTCTTCAAAATTCACTTATCCTCTTCACCCTAACACGAATGATCCTCTTTGTGTGTAGAGCGTCTCCCCAGTCGACCTATCATAAACAAGGAGCTGAGTAATTGCACAGTGGTCCAGGGAACAGAAGCAAGACTACAGTGTTCCGTGATATCGGACCAAGTGCCATACATCACCTGGCTAAAGCACTCCACACGGTATAATGGTGTTGACGACGAGGGCAATATTATTGACAGGTTATTGATTATCAAGGTAAAAAAATGTCACTTATTATGATTGGCATTTAGTGGTGGCAGGGTGATGGTGGCAGCTGTTGGGTTCTTCAGTGGTGGTGGTGGTGGTAGTATTGTGATAGTACTTTAAGATATGCTCATATTAATGGTGTTGGGAAATAGGCACAACATATGTCTTGTCTTGTAGTTGCACTGTCTCTTGTTTGCTCCTAAACAATAGAGTTAATAGGTTTAGTTTACATTAATGTCTCAGTCTGCTAAGTTTGAACCAGTTATTCCTCTGAAAAATTTTTAAAAGAAAATTAAAAACAAAATCATTTCTACAATTGTGAAACTTTCCCCTTACTGCCTCACGACAGACATGCCCCCAAAATATGACATGTTATCTTCTCTGTAACTCTAGTGATGTTTTGTGTCCCTGATCCTTAATACTCAGGTGTCTAGGTAGTGCTTGAGGCCAGATAATTAAAGGCTAATCTTGTCTTCAAAATACATTTCTAACTACAGTACAGGTATTTACAGAGGTATAACTAATACAAACTCAGACTTAAGAGCAAACAGAGGTATTAATCATGATTGGAATTACAGTATTTGATTTAAGGAAACATGTGAATCAATGAGAATCTAATAATCAAGCTTTTGTCTTTCCTTAGAGAATGATCTTGGTGATATTTATATGTAGAACAAGTGGTGGTGGTGATGAAGTATTGCACTGTACTGTATTTGTAGTAAAATTGGTGACATTTGATATGCTTAATTAATCATCAGTGTTTCAGTGAAAATTTTTTGTTTATTGTAAAAAATTTCATGTATTACAGCAGCTCTTTTTATGTCATAAGTGTTTTATACAAAAACTTGAAGAAAGAGGGGGAGTTGCTTCACATGCTACAGTAATACATTATAGTGTTCTTGAAATTAATAAATTGTAGAAAATAAATTTAAAATTCTTGTTGCTCTTCTAAGTTTTATCTCTGTAACATACACAGTAACTTTAATATACTGTATACTGTTCTGTGTGAAATTGATAAGGTATAATTTGCTTAATAAATTTACTGATGAAGAGAGAGATTACATGTACAGTACAGTACAGTATATACTGCTCAGTCAATACAGAATTAATGTAATGTACTATACATTGTTGCTAGAATATTAAAGTACTTGTCATTATTTTTGCTGCTGTGTAATTCTTGAGCTTTTAAACTGTTTCTTTTAAATACACAAAACAAATAGGTATGAATAATAATTTTTGTATCAATTTTAGACTTTAGAATTGTTTTGGGCAGGTGTGTGTATGGCATTTGTGTTGACTCATACATGTGTCCTCTACATGTACACTAGATGCTTCTTGTCTTATACTCTATACTGTATTTCCTACTTTCAACTACCAAGAATTATTAAACTGATTACTAATTTTAAGTATTCAGAGAGTACTGTACCGTAATTTCTTCCAGCATGTATAAAATTGCAAGTTTTATATTTATAAATGGTGATGGTGAACTGTTCCACGGCCTTCTCTTTTGTTGGGGTCTTTTGTTAATATGCTTCATACTAATGTTCACCCCTTCTTGCCCCTCTACCATAGAACACATCCCTTCTCGGCCAATCTTCACCAAGCATCTGGAAAATGTTACCGTATTTCGAGGTCAAACGGTGCACCTTGAGGTGGATATCTGGACAGAGAACACACTGGTGCCTTATATAGTGTGGCGCAAGGATTTACCACTCTCTTGGTCAGACTCTGACTCTCGAGATTCCTCTGAAATCATAATCGATAGAGAAATTCTTGATGCCGCCATAAAAGGCCAGGTCAGAATTGTATAACCACATTCTTCAACATGCGTGGAGTCTTTAGTGGAGTGGACCTAACACCCAGTAGAGATGCTAATGCAAGAAATACTATACTGTATATCACTGTTTGACGAGAACAACGTAATTGCATGGCCATTTGAGATTTTATTTACTGTGTTGATAGAGCAGCATGATTATAAGTTTGTGTGGTGCATTATACTGATTTACTGATGCTAACACGTACAGTCGTAGAGAGAACCACAGTTTTAAGCATGCATGGATGGGTGTACAGTACCTCCCTCAATCATCCTGTTGTGACTTAAAATTAATGAGAAATATGTTGGTGCTAAGACCATCATCTTCCCTCTAGACTGGGTAAGAGTACAGTACTGTACTATATTTAAAGCATCATATAATTTAAAAGGCATATGGTACATTAATTAGCGGAGGGACTCGATGGGTAGGTTTCAGGTTGATACAATTTGTTGTGTTTGTGTACGAGCCGTTATTTAACTTGCATGAATGATGATCTCCTTTGGGCTTTTATGTCTGTTTATTTATTTCTTTTTTATTTCATCCTTCTGTTATGTCTGTTCTTTCTCCTGTACTGTATATAATGTAGTATGCTTTGTACTGTTGTTGTTGTTGGTCTGTAGTATTTTAGTGTTTTGATTAGTAATTTCCATAAGGTAGAATTGTATATGAGCAGATAGATAGTATATTAGCTATGGAATACTTGTATATCTTTTGTACCTTATTATTTTATAGGTTTGGGGAAATATAAACAATGAAGTGTAGTTTTAGTCAGTACTGAACTTGTATATTAAATATTCAGAGTACAGTAGAGGCATACTGTATAGGGAGATTAAAGACATGTGTTTAAATTTCTGAAAATCATAATGGTTAAATTTCTGTAGACTAAGAACTTTCACTGCATAAGATAAAATATAAATTCTTAAATCTCAATAATTACTGGATCCCTTAAATGAGCTTGTCATACTGTATGTCTTTTAAAATTCTTGAGAAATTGCTATTATTGTAAAGATTTTTTCTAAGTAGCTATTAGTACAGGTATTGAAGTTAGATAAGTACAGTACAGTATTACATTTACTGTAACCTACACTCAATTTTGTTTTCTAGGAGGGTGGCAACATAACCAGCACAGAGGACCCTCAAGTGTTAGTGCTGAGCAACGTGACTGAGAAGGATGCCGGCTGGTACACGTGTATTGCTGCCAACAGCCTCGGTACCTCTTCATCTACAGCCTACCTTAATGTTACTGATGGTAGGTACCTTAATGTTACTGATGGTAGGTACCTTAATGTTACTGATGGTAGGTACCTTAATGTTACTGATGGTAGGTACCTTAATGTTACTGATGGTAGGTACCTTAATGATACTGATGGTAGGTACCTTAATGTTACTGATGGTAGGTACCTTAACGTTATGCATGGTAGGTTGAGAGTTGAGATCCACACACACAGTCTCTGAGTGAGAGTTGGGTGCTAGAGAGGGAATGGGTGAATTAATAATGATGATCCTGCTTGCGGACGGGATTTTTATAAGAGGCCTGCACCTTGGTTTTGGCGGCTGTGACCTCACATTTCATTTACACAACGGTGATTGGTCGAGAAGTGAGACTCTCTCATGTGACAGCTTGCATGGTGGAGGAAGGATGGATGGTGCACCGGTGAGTGGATGAAAGACGAGTACTGTACTGTACAGTATTTTATTTTCCGACAAATTTTTGGTGGCAAGATGTTAACACAGTAAATAAACAGTGAAAAGTACAAGAGTAATGTTGAATGTTTGATGACAATTATAAATGTTGATTGCAAGAAGCAATTAGTGCCATCTGTATTTACCTATGAGAGTATGTATCTATGACCAGAGAGACAATGAGCTACAGTGTTCACACTTGGCCTATATCTGTACAAATACTCACCATAACAACTCTCAGTGCTGCTTAAGTTATTATTCTCTCTACTTTGTATTTTTGGTAAGTGTGTCATGTAATCTTTGTATATACCTTATCATTTACACAAATCTGCTTACAAAATACCTAATGTAGTATAATTTGTAAATAAGGTCCACAAAGTGCTTGTCTTTACTTTGAATTTATGTCTGAAAATATGATCTAAGACACCCTGCTGGGCCTTAATGCTTTTAGAAGTGACCATCTTTTGTGAACACATAAAAAATAACCTCACCCGCATTAAGCAGGTTTTCTTGTACACGTTTCTGGTGCATGAATTAACAACTGTCTTTGTGACATGGTGACCTAGTCGGCATGCATACTTCTTCCTTAAATGCTTTGTTTGATAATCACTGCCAGATTATGTTAAGATGATTATTAACCAAAATTATTCAGGAGGTTTTTACACCCAACAATCTCTTGTACATCAAGAATCAACATACTGTACTGTACTTGTACATATTTAGCTTTGTTGAGGTACTGTAATGCATAATGGAGGATGGTGAATGATGCTCGTAGGGTACAGTACCTTTATTGGTTTTCATTATATGGTTGAAAGTTCTTGTAAGGGAACAGTTACAGTTTGTTAAGGGAAGTATCTGCCTGCCTGAACCTTCTTCTTGGTGTATATAAAATAATACCTGTATATATAAAGGAGATAGGGGCCATATACTGGTACTGTACAGTGAATACTGCATGTGCACTACCGTACTCATAACACTTCAATTTAATATCTTATGTGATCTTAGTCACCTGCAACAGCCTCAACAAACTAGCTGCTCTGCTGTAAAGTAAAGTCTTTTGAGATTTCTTCATCACCATATATTTATGGTCAGATTTTTTAAAGCCATCCAGGTTTAATCCACACAGGCTGTGAAATGGCAGTACCGGGGTAAATTGAAATTTTAAACTGAGACTTACAGGTTACTTCAGCCTGTCCCAGTCTTCCTCAAGGATTTAATTAACACATTTCATCCTAAAGTCAGGCCTTCTAATTCCCATATGGGAAACAGAAGAGGATACAGTATAGGTATTTGGCAGAGGGGGATGGGGGATATTAGTTTACTTCTCGGGGAACATTAGACCGAGACAGTTTTGTGCCTAGATGACTTGTTCACTGCAGTCTTGTGCTCACTTTTGATATACAGTACTGTACAGTATTTCCCCTTCACTTGAAATATCTTGTGTTCATTTCTTCATAAACTCTGCAAGATGGAACATTACATTTGGTTACATCAATTGCTTCAGAATTTCTGTGAACCAAACATTCTTGATTTTTTTTTGTTGGGGAAGGGATTATTATAGACAACTAATCATAGTAATAAGCATTGGGAAGCCTAGCATGCCTGTACAGTAGTATCTTGGAATACCGAGGGCCAGTGTGGTGGGTCATGGTGGAAGTATCTCAATGTTATCTGCCTTTATCCTCCCAGCCATAAAGTGGGATTTCACATATCAGCATTTATTTTTTCAGTAATTTGTAAATTGAAATTCACACATATTTAATACTGCAACCCTCATGAGCTCCGTCCTAAGCTTTAAAATAATAATCTAAATATATGCTTTAACAATATGCCTTTTTCCAACTCCCTCATGATCCACTAATGTCAACTAACAATGTGCAAAACAGTGAGATTAAATGCCATCAGAACACTTTTGAATACATCAAAATTGTTTGTGATAAATACAGTTGATCAATATAAACAGTACAGTATTTATGTATATCTTTTTTGGTTTATGCTGTTTTGAGTGCAGCCATTTGAATTTATAGGAAGATCATTGAGGTAAGGGCTGATTTAATTTGTCAAAAAATTTTCTCTCACTGGGTAGTATACTTAATGCTAGTTCTCTCTTGGGGGTGATGGTGGTGGTGGTGATGACTAACAATTGCTGTCATTTTTCAGCGGAACCCATCCTTGCAGATCCTGAGTCTAATGTTATTCTGGTCCTGGCGGTGGTTTTATTCTCTGTCATGGTATTGGTAAGCATCTTGGCCTCTTGCGTCTGGAAAAAGTGGCAGAAGGAAAAACGGAGAGCAATAGAGCTAGAACGTGCAAAGGAAGCCATTACACAGCAGTGGATAAAAAAGGTCAGTTATAATTTTTGCAAAGACTTATTTTCTGTAATGCCCATAAGTGCTTAAAATAATTATTTATTTTAATTGTTTGGAAACCATCATTAATAGTACTGTATGGTTTTCCCATAGGTTATTGTGGAGCGTCAAAACTCAGATGCTTCACAGGAGCCTCTTCTTGTCCCGACAATCAAGATTGAACGTTGTCAATCGAGGTCAAGACTGGGATCTGAAATGACCAGCATATCAGAGTACGAACTCCCTCTAGATGCTGACTGGGAGCTACCCCGTGCAAGATTGCTGATGGGCGAGTCCCTAGGAGAGGGCGCCTTTGGGAAAGTTGTGAGGGCAGACGTTCAAGGATTTGTCAGACCAGATATGAACACAACTGTGGCAGTCAAGATGCTCAAAGGTAAGGAGATTTTTAAATCTACCATAGTTCTAGTCTCATCATTAACCAAACTCTTGTAACCATACAGGTAGTAAATGTGTCAACAGTTTTCCCAAGTTGTGAACTCTGAAATTAAATCTAATTTTGACTGGTAACCGTCTTCAACATTAGTGTGAAAAATTAAATCCATAGGTATACAGAGTGCAGTGTTACATTATTTTGTTTCCTTGTCTTGATAGAGGGCCACACAGATGCTGAACTCATGGACCTTGTGTCAGAGATGGAAATGATGAAAATGATTGGTACACACATCAATATCATCAACTTGCTGGGTTGCTGCACTCAAGATGGCCCCCTTTATGTTGTTGTTGAATATGCAGCTCATGGGAACCTTCGTGATTACCTGCGTAACAACAGGCCATCATCTGGCTATGAACGAGCCATTGGCCAGGAGCCAGACACAATTACAGAAAAGGATTTGGTCAGCTTTGCCTACCAGGTAGCTCGTGGCATGGAATACTTAGCATCAAAGAAGGTAAGAACTTAACTTGTCTAAGGTGTGGCAGATACTGGAAAAAATTTATTCTCACCATTTATGCATAGACTAACCACATACAGACATTGACAGTATTATTATTCAGCAATTAGATTACTGTGTTGTTTTATATCACATTTACAGTCATTATAATCAGAGAATAACGAGAACCCTAGTCTAATACTGTATATAGTACAGGTACACTGTATGCAAAGTAAATTAAAAAAAATTCAATAAAGAATTATAATTTTAGATATCCATCATGCCACCTCACACTATGCACTTGAATGGGTAAATGCCTGTACATTACATATACGCAGAAATGAATATACAGTACTATAGTAGTAACACTCAGCAGTGATGAGTGTAGAGGCAACATGTTGAGGCTTATAGTGAAACTACTGTATGCTGTACTGCTAAGAAGGGCATCTAAATGTTCAGACAATATTATTCTTATAAAATGTCTTAAGATATATTTTATCTATTTATTTGCTTTATCAATTGTAAGAATTAGTAAGTGAATTGAACCTGAGATGTGTAAAAATGTAAAGGTTAAGTAAGAGGATGGTAGGAGTAAGAGGCAGAAGACCAAGGAGATAGGGATGACCATTCAGGAAACGGTCAGTGTTACTTATGGTCAGAAAGCTTGGCACAGTATGAGGTTTATGGGGCCGATGACAGTGAGAGAAGGAATGTTTGCCATTAGGCCTACAGGAACCACTTCTCACTGTTATGTTATCATCATTAGCTTTGTTCTTTCTTGGCAGTGCATTCACCGTGACCTTGCTGCTCGCAATGTTCTAGTCAGTGAAGATCGCATCATGAAAATTGCAGACTTTGGTCTAGCGCGAGACATACACAGCCAGGATTATTACCGTAAGACAAGTGAGGGACGACTGCCTGTCAAATGGATGGCGCCCGAGGCACTCTTCCATAGAGTATACACGTCACAGTCTGATGTGTAAGTATTGTAATTCATATTTCTGTGTTTTGATGAAGTATGCAGGAAATATATTTTAATAATGAATGCAAATAAGAGTTTTTTTTTTTTGCTTGAAAGAGAGAAAAAATTAAGATAGTTTTCATTCACACTGGGAAACAATGAAAGTGTTAAATTAATTCAGATATTTGTGGAGGAAACACTAGTACTGTACCTCATGCTTTGCACAGTTATTGTAGTGACCCTGTTGTTAGCATCGAGGGTTTATAGTGTTGCCTGTGACTCTCCTGAAATGAGATTAGAAACTGAACAACAGGAAGAGCCTCTACCTGTCGGTGTAGTTCATTTCAGAAGGATATACTGTATCACCTTTCCATCTATCCTTCAGGCATCAGTGTGAAATTCAGTGTGCATCTTTACATTATTTTCTCTAAATACCTGTAATTGCTACGGTTATGATCTGGAAATTTTATTGGAGGAAATACCGTACTTCCAGTGGTTGTCTAGTTTCTGCATTCCTTTCTAGGCTGTCCCAAGAATAGTTCAGTACAGTTACCTCACATTTAAAACATAATTACTGTCATTATGAAGAATATTTTACTGTTTTGTAGAAGATACTCCCTTGTTGAGAACTATATTCTTTCGTTTTTATTCATACATAAATTCCATTGTGTCTGAAACAAATTGAAACATTGCTATGATCATTGTGTCTCTTACCTGAAACATGGATGTACTGTACCATGTCATTGTCCATGTCATTTATTGGCAAGATAGATTTATTAATTTAAGCTTCATTGAACTACATGATAAAGAGTACAGTATTAAACATTTCTATAAGACTGTATTTTTAATATATATATATATATATATATATATATATATATATATATATATATATATATATATATATATATATATATATATATATATATATATATATATATATATATATATATATATATATATATATATATATATATATATATATATATATATATATATATATATATATGCTGAATTTACTAGGTTGTGTAGAGCAGCAGAGATAAACCAGATGGGTACCTTTGGTTGCATAGAAGTGTAATACAATGGGCTTAAAAGTGAACATAAAAAGAATTAATGAAATACCTGGACTGAAAATCTCAAATATTTTTATCTTCTTTAAATGGAACTGGAACTCATAGTACAGTACAATAAACTGGAAGATGGATCATTATTTTTCATATTGATAATAATTTATTAATATTACAGGTGGGCATTTGGTATCCTGTTGTGGGAGATTATGACTCTGGGGGGCACGCCGTACCCTGCAGTGCCATCAGTTGAAAAGCTCTTCCAGTTATTGAGGGAAGGACACAGAATGGAAAAACCCTCAAATTGTTCTCTTGAAATGTAAGTTTTATCTCAGGCATTTATTTGTGTGTGTGTTAGGTGATGACTCTTAACTCAAATACAGTGAACCCTCACATTACGCGGTCAATTGAACCCACGGAGGCCCCGAGAAACGCGTAAAGTGAACAACATTTACACATGGGATTAAATGAAATAGAGACCGGCTGAACCCCAAACTCCACTTTTTCCGACACAATACCTATGTTCTAGTAAAAATAACATCTTAATTTTATGATGGTACATGCACACAATTAATACTTAAGAGAAATAGAGAAATACAGTCGCCAAGTTAATGTCCATTCAAATAATGGACTCAACTCCCTCCTCCTCTTCTCACACTACACTGCTGGCTCTTCCCTCTCTGAGAAATGTTTGGGGGAAAACCACTAGATTTTAAGGTATAGTAATAAATAATACCTCAAACTAAAGTTAGGATAATATAATTGACATTGCTGGATTCCTCGTAAGACCAGGAATATTTTGAATATAAATGTCATATATTTTGCACAAAAGATAACATATTTACTCAGAGTAAACAAAATACTTACATTACATCTAAAATTTGTATGTCTAATGCAAAATCTATGATGTTTATATTCAAAATGATCATCAAATTGTGAGAATTCCAGCAATGTAAATTATATTCTGGCCGGGTAATTTGTATGAATTTTATGAGCTAAAACAAATATCTTCAATAAATAAACAAAATATACTTACCGAAATACTATCTGTCAATCAAAATACCCCACCTCAGCCCCTCTTCCCACCTGCTCCCTGGGTCCCTCCCTCCCTCCCTACCCCTCACCCCCACCTTCCCTCCCTACCAGAGAAATGATTGGGTTATAACAGTATACAGTATTTACATTTTTAGTAATAAATAATACCTCAGACTAAAGTTAGGATAATATAATTGACATTGCTGGATTCCTTGCAAGACCAGGAATATTTTGAATACACGTCATATATTTTGCACAAAAGATAACATACAGTATTTGCTCTGAGTAAACAAAATACTTGCATTAGATCTAAAATTTGTATGTCTAATGCAAAATCTATGATGCTTATATTCAAAATGATCATCAAATTGTAAGAATTCCAGCAGTGTAAATTATATTCTGGTCGGATAATTTGTATGAATTTTATGAGCTAAATAAAAAAAATTATACTTCACCCGCGTACATGAGTAGATGCACCGCGTAAAGTGGGAATTCCGGTTCTGGCAGGGTACCGCGTAAAGCGAGGGTTCACTGTACACAAACCCGAAAAGAATGACTGAATTAAACAGATAAATTTGGCCGTAATTTCCTTACTTGCGTGGGTTAACCGTGGTTACCTGATGGCAGCTCTCCAGGCTGCATGGTTTCTTGCAGCTACTTGTCAGGTACATTAACTTGAGATGATTTCTCACAACACCTCCTCATGTCACTCATCACCTAGCCTTAACTCTCCTCCCCTCCACTTTCAAATATTGTCAGAGTAATTGGACTTGGATTATTCTGCCCATACGAAGCATCTTTCACTTTGCAGCATTAAACATATTTGCTAGTCATTCCACCATACAAAGTTTGTGCACATTAACTGCATATGGTAAAATGCAGTGTCATTTTGACTTGCTATTTTCTGTAAATCTTTGCATTATTAACAAACTTGAAATTTGTAATAATCATTAAAATGTTTCCAAAAACTGTTTGTACCTGTATAACTTTTTTTTTTTGATGCCTACAATATAATACAATACAGTGTTGCCTGGCTTTGAATGTTATAAAGAATGTGAACAAGTATTGTAAATATACTGCTTATGGCAAGAGGTTAGGATATAATGACAGAACTTAGTTTTATGCTTATTGCAGTAGTTCCCATTTTTCATAGCTTGTTGTATTCACACTATTTTTTATACAGCTACATGATCATGCGTGAGTGTTGGCGCTGCCAACCAACACAACGTCCAACTTTCAAAGAACTTGTTGAAGACTTGGACCGAATTCTCACATTGTCCTCGACTGTGGTAAGTTTACGATCAAATAAACATTTGGAAGGTTCTGTTTTATTTGTAGTAGTGTACTGAAAATACCCTGTGTAGTACTGTACATATAAATAGGCAACATAATAAAAAGGAGGAAGGTTAGTTTACAGTTAAAAAATAATATAAAGATGCTTATATCATAGATACTGTATTGTGTTGCAGGAATACCTGGATCTGTCCATGCCTCATCTGGATACTCCGCCCAGCAGTTGTGACTCCTCTCTCACCTCGGATGCTCTCACACTGTACTAAGCTGCTTACATACTCATTAGTCACTAAGCCAAGTATGACAGCTGGTGTAGTGCCTTTTTATTATTGCTATAAGAAACTAAACAGCAAAGATAGAAGTCTGTAGTCAGAGTGATAAATTAACAGTGGACGTATCACACCAAAATTATTCCCCTGGACTAAAACTGATGTACAGTGTGGAGGGATGATCACAACCCATAATAACAATAAGAATTGTGGTGTTTGGATGTGGCACAATTACTAAACTTTTATGTTTAAAAGTGAAATGTGTTCATGATGATGGTGGCAATATTTGAATAAAAGTGTTCAAATTATGACAAATTTAGAAAAGTGCATTTATTAATTTTACTCTTTATAAGAAGTGTTTTAATTTTGTATCAAAGCAGTAGCTCAGGAAGGATACTGCTGCAGTTATTTAATGAAAGAAAATACAGAAGTGGACATGAACTTACTGGTATGTGTTAGTCACAGTACGGTCACAACGAAGTGATGAGATGCTTTTATCCAAGTCAGGACTAGAAGGTGTCTATAGTGAAGTGCACAGTGCTTGTAAGTTGATAACTGTTGTGCTGCATCGTTATGTATTCATACATAATTTAAAAACATAATGCAGAAAATTAGAACTGCAGGAGAAACTCATAAGCATTTTATTTTTATCGGTACAGTATTTATGTTTGTGTGATCTGTAAATCTGTAATTTGTAGATTTATATAAAGGCAAATATTTCTGTACTTAAGTTGTTTGTTAGTAAATGTTACAGTCCAAGCTGTTACAGGTATTATGTAATGGATCTTAATGTGCCATTTGACTTAATTATTGTGAGTGCCATATTTAGAGAAGAATTATAGATTTCCCAGTTACTGTGCAGCAGGATGTACGTTGCATTGATGTCGTAAATTTAGTAGATCTTTGGGAAATGAAGAAAAGCAAGTGCCATTTGAATAGTCAAATGTGTTCTACAAACAGATGTGGGTGTGAAGGATGGCAGTAGTTCTCTCAGGGTTATCAGGCTATAGTAATATGAGATAAGAAAGGAAGATCCTCTCAACTAAGTTGAGAATGAAGTAAGGTTGATGGATTGAAAGGTAAGATCATATGGCTTAAGGTGGCCTGTGTTGTAGGAATACCAGACTTGCATTTAGAATTGTACAAGTTTACAGTTTGTAGTGACAGAAATGTTTTCAGGGATAAGACAGGGTTGAAAAGAAAATGTAAGCACTGTTATATGCAGTTACTTAAGGTGTTTCTTCATTATTCTGATAGGAAGCCCTAATGTAGTACAGTACAGTGGTCAGTTGTCATAATTCATGTATTGAAGTAAATTCTTGAGGTTCGCCCAAAAAGGATGTTATTCGTGACAATGCATGTACTGTACATAGCCTGTCTACACGATGGCTTTGATATACAAGGGCACCAAGGACAAACTTAAGGATGTATATTTTACTCAAGTGCCTTCATGTATGTAGTAAATGTAAGAAAGAGGATTAGGGAAGACATCATGTATGGATTGAATGATGGGAACAGTTAAATTGAAATTAGATGAGTAATGGGTGTTAGTGTGATTTTAGATTTTTTTTTTTTAAATAGCAAACTGAGCTATAGTCAATGTACAAAGAAGGAAGATTTTCCTGCTCATTATGTAGAAAAGGTTATTTTAAAGGATTCTGATGTTTTCAAAGAATGTAAGTACATTAAGTATTAGGTCTTTTACCTAATATAATACAGGTCAGAATAAGCAGTGTATTAAAATAATTACTTGTAAGTCTGCTATGGTGCTAATAGTCATTAGTTACACTGAAAGACATCCAGACAGCATAAGGTGGAGGAGTTTACTCACATTAGAATTTTTTGTTTTGTTTGAAAACTTTTTAACAAAATCAAATACAATAACCGTTAGTGTTGTTCTGTTTTACTTATTATTTTAAGATACTTAATGTGAAAAAGAAAATTTTTAAGTATATTTTAAATCCTACAACAGTAATTATTATTATTTTTTTCTTAAAACCCTGTACAGTACCTACATAGTTCTAAGTTGTCAGTCGTAATACAAATACAGTAGTATAAAATAATTTTGTGTAATGGATATGTACAGTCCCCCCAAAAAGTAACATTACTTTTTTTGGTTGGACTGTACAAAAGACAATGTGGTAAGTAAAGGCCCGAGTTCAAGATTATTGCTATTAAGTTTTGACAGGTAAGTGTATCAATATGTCCAGGAAAGAATATTGAAGAGTACTCCTTTATTTTGTTAAATGCTACAAGCAGTCATGCAGATTATTCACATAACCATCATTATTCATTGTTTGTAGCAGGGTAGTGTCTATGCTATAGCTCCCACAGGTTCTCATGTACTAGTCATCCACTGTTCACCTGTGCCGTGCATGGAGGCAGCCCCACTGATGCTCCACACCTTATCTACCTCTCTACTCTTTCACTTCCCATGTTGACACATTTGAACTTTCATCTGTTATTTTATATTAAGCAAATTGATTTAAATTTAATATTTATTTAAAAAAAATTAATTGTATTTCTGTACATCATTGAAAACAAAAAGTGTAAAACTTAGGAGTAGGGATGCCACCTCAGTAAAAAGTATATATATGTTCACAGGCATACATTTCTTACACACATATGCTATTGATGTACACACACATACAAATGATAGACACATACACAAATGCATATATGAATTCAGTGTGATAATTTTAACTGCTTAATTTTCAGTAGTAATGTAATGTAATTTTAATTTTCAAACCAGTAAGTGAGTAACTGATGAGTGGGGAGCCCCATGCACAGCACAGTGCTTCATGTGCCAAGTGTTGAGTGATGCCAAAGGCTTACATTTATGTTTGTCAGTATTGGAAGCTTCTGTTTAGTTAGCCAATGTACTGACAGTATACAACTAACATTCTCAACCTTATTTACACTCTTATGCAAAGAAAAGTGTAATTTTTTATTGTATAAAAATATCCAAGAAATAACTTCTATATCTTATTTGATACTGATGCTTCTAAACAGTGATAGTCATTAACTTAATTTACTATAAGTGTGGAAGGCAAAATTAAAAAAAAATATATTTCATACCAAAATACTAGTGTTATGAAATATGTTAGGTGTAACAAAAGAAAGCTGTGGCCATGTTTTCTTGTTCAGCAGGAGCAATAGAGATATCTTTTATTTATTACAGGGATAGGTTAGGCAGTGTCCTACACCAATTAAATGCCTCTTAATCATAGACAGGTTTCATTTCATGGATTACATGTAGGTGTATTTTAGCTGCTTGTCCCATTCGTGTAGATATTTGATCAAGAGATGGTGGCTTTAGTTTTTTAACAAATTGTATACATGTAAACCCATCATGTAATATGGTAAATGAAATAAATTGTTGTTATCAGATATGTTTAAATAATTTTCAATATGTGTCGTGGAAGAATTAGTTTCTCTTGGTGATGATAAATGTATACGGTGTATAAGCTTTGCTGATGGTCTGTGACACGGCTACAGTTTCAACATAAGAGCCACCATGTCACTGCTCTTTGTGCACGGTGGTTGGTGGATATTAAAGGTTACATATTCATCAGTGTTATATCAGAAACTTGCACTGTTAGAGATCATATAATCCTAACTTGACATGTTTACATAAAATGGCATTTTGGGGTACTTAAACATAAATGATGTAAATATTTCTTGCACCATCGTAAAGTACTGTAGTTCCTCTATCAAATGACACCTAAATAATAAAAATCATATGGATGGTCACTGAAATACAAATAAAAGAAATAATGCAAAACTAAACACAATTACCTTTATTTGTGGTTTTGGTTGATTCGTCATTATCCACCCAAGTGCCTCGTATGTTGAAGATCACACGGGGGATGCATAATGACTTAATGATTTCAACATTCACAACACAGAATGGCTGAAGTACTCTGCCCACACTGGCCAATATGGTGTGGAGTGGGAGGGAGGACTGAATCTTACACAAGTGGTGAATGCTCCCACATGAATCATTGATATTGCTGGACACACTGAACACCTGCTAGGATGATCTCTATTTGACTAATCATCCTAATTCTCACCCTGCTACGGTTTCATCTCTTAGTTTTGAGTATTTTCTCATCTGTGACCAAAGCTCATCCAACAAAAAATACATAATACTGTACTGGACTAGTGCAAAACTGGCATTATACAAACATTCAGGCTGAGATGAACTTCAGGATTTCTATTTCCTTTTCATTGATCACTCTTCTTTTTTTACCATTCTTGTTCACCAGTATCATCAAGGCTGGGCCGAGGAAAGTCATACTCTGTAAAACACCGAAAACATCTCATTTACCCCGAATAGTTTAGTCTTTCCACTGCCATTGTTGTAAAGAACAGGATACACAAATTAACTCTCTATCACTGTAGACATTTAATAATCACAAGTAGGAAAGAGAGATATCACACCAAAGCAATTGTTATGTTATTTAGGTCAAGTTTCCTACAATCAACCAGACTGCTGAACAACCAAAGATTAACAGATTAACAAATTATTCTGCAAGGTATTTACCATCAAGATGTGAAGTAGGTTCATCTTATCTGAAGCAAAGGACCTCATACGACAACCTTCCTCTTGCATTAGGGATAAATTACAATATAATATAAACACTCTTGAGACAACTTACAATATCGAATCTCAAATAAACACCTAACACTTGCTATAGCCTAAGTAGAACAACACCTTTCCCATACCCGTTGTCTGGGCATCATTGGCATCACACCTGTGGAAAAATTGCACCAGTTGGGTGATACTCCGAAGGTTGTAAGAAATGGTATGACTGATGGGGTAGGTATATATGCAGTGGTAAGTGTGTGTGAAGTAGTAGGTGTGTGTTTTGGGATAGGTGAGTGTGCGTGGTAGCAAAATGCAGATGTGGCTTATCTAATTGCATGCACATGTGACCACAGATGTGTGTGTGCGTGTGTAACTGTGTTTCTGTGCTAAATTAACACTACCCCAAAAACACACACACACACACACACCTATCCTCCAAACACATACGAACTCGCATATACTTGTCTCTCATATACATATATATATACCCCTCCCCCAGACACACGACTCCCACACATACACACCTACCTCCCCCACATACACACTCACGCCAACCCCTCCCCCACACCACACACCTACCCTCACAAGTACCACCCCACCCCCCACACACATAAAACACACTTAAGGCGTGAGAGACAGGTAATGGTGTGAAGGTGGGGGGAGGTGGAAATGAGAGATAAAGAGGAAATTATCGTCATGACAGTTGTACACAAGTGCAGGAATATAAGAGACAACACTTTATGTCTTGGCACCATTTCTCTCCCTCATCTTTGCAATTCTTCACACCCAACATACGCAATTTCTGATCACCTCCCCATACGTACAATTACAGAATCCCCCCTACCCCCATACACAACATTTAAGTCCTCTTCTCTCCATGTACGCTGTCAACATATCATCATCAAGCCTTATGTGTGATAATATAAATCCTTTGTGTACGATAACGACTATGTCCCAGTGTGGGAGTCTCACACTAGCACAAGGTCTTCGGCATGAACGTAGTACATAAATTTGTCCATTTATACATGTTATATATATATATATATTTTACGGGGATTAGCCCACCTGGACACAGGTCACTGACCCACATCGGGGCCTAGGGGGCAAAAATGTAACAATAATAATAATAATAATAAAGAACCATAAAGAAATACAAAAATGAAAAAAAAATTGAGTGAGAAACAATATATAAAAACATGAAAATAAGGAGTCTGCAATAGGCCGGTTGGCCTGTGCATGGCAGCTCCTGTCGAGAGTTACTACCACTCTCTATCATCCATGAATCTATCTAGCCTCCTTTTAAAACTCTCCAGCGTTCCAGCACTTACTAAATAGTTGCTAAGCTTGTTCCACTTGTCCACCACCTTATTTGTGACCCAGTTCCTTCCTATCTCCCTCCTAAACCTAAACTTATTCAACTTAAATCCGTTGCTACGAGTCCTATCCTGCTCGGATATTATAAGAACTTTATCTATATCGCCTTTATTTATTCCTTTCACCCACTTAAATACTTCTATGTATGTTGTGTTGTCAAAGAAAGAGAAACAATTGAATTTATGTAAACATCCCTACGTAAGATGGTCAAGATTATGTCAGGACTCGCACCAGGGCCGGATTCAGGAGTGGGCAAAGTGGGCAGCTGCCCAGGGGCCTCCACATGTGCGGTAGTAGCTATATCAGGGCTGGTCGGCTTGAAACCACATGAATGACTCCAGTCATGTCTCACTTTTGTGTGTGTGTGTGTTGGGAATTTGTACACTATCAATAAATATACAGTTAATTAAAAGATTCTCAATGTTCTAATTTCCTCAATAAAACTGCATATGGCTTCAAAATTCTCAAGAAGTGTTCAAATTTCAAAATTTTCCCGGGGGGCTTACAGGGCCCCCCGGAACTCCCAGATGTTTAGGGCTCGCTTCACTTGCCACCCCACCCTCTTGGGTAGTTATAATGAGGGGGGCCTCCACAAAGAGGCTGCCCATGGGCCTCCACAGGTCTAAATCCGGCACTGACTCACACCCACTAGACATAAACCCGGCCTTTACCTTGTTGTGTAAACCCGAGTCCAGATATACCTTGAGGATCTCATTGATGTTTTGTACAACGTTTGCGTAAACATGTAACCCTCAATACATATCACGATGTCTTCTCTCCTCTTGTCAGTCTTTTTTTTACCAGGATGAACTCCGATCTATAAATGCTGTTTCAATACTCAAGTACTGTGTGCTATGGAACCATCGTACTAACTAGAGAATAATAGCAGCCTGGAGTGGAGCTGGGAAGGAGACAGCACCATAACACAGTATAGGAAAGAAGTGGTAACACGATACTTTCAGGTAAATTGTTTCACCTGGTGTTTCATCCCTGAGATAATTATTACGTCATCCAGGTGAAAAGTTAGTATTTTGTATTGATAAGTGAGATGAAAATGTATACAATGTTTTTATTTATTTGCAGTATCTATTGATTTTTACTTTGCCTTCCTTACCATAGTCTACTAAGATACTTCACAGCTTCAGTACTGTCTTGCAGGATGTGGTGTAGTGGCGGTGAAGGCGACGTAGTGGCGGTGTTAGTGTTGCTATTGATTGTGGTGAGACAGCACAAAGGTCGTGGTGGTGACTGGTCATGTGGTGGTAGTGGTGACTGACCGCAAGGGGTGGTGCCCGTGGCGGTAACTGGCCGTGGGTAGCGACGGTGGTGATTGACCGAGTGTGGTCTGGTGACTGACCGTGGATAGTGGTGTTGGCGTTGGTGATAGGCCAGATGTGGTGGTGGCGACTAACCGCAGGTGGTGGTGCTGGTGTTTGAAGTAGTGGTAGTGGTGATGGTGACTGGCCGTGGGTAGTGGTGGTGACTGGCCGTGGGGAGTGGTGGTGGTGACTACCCGTGGATAGTGGTGCAGGTGGTAGTGTTAGACGTAGTGGTAGTGATGGTAACTGGCCGCGGGTGGTGGTGGGAGGAGCAAGTAATACAGCCTTGACAATCAGCTGAGAGGAGTGAGCAGAGCCCCCTCAGTCACAACAGCAGCGGCGAGGAGAGGAGAGAGAGAGAGAGAGGAAGGGATCGAGAGTGTCAGCTGAGAGGCGACCACCACCACCACCTGCTCCCCGCACCTCTTTGTTTTGGGTCATCCTCTCTCTCATCAGGTGAGTGTGTCCAGTATACTAATACACCCTCCAACACACTACACAACACCACCACACTATCCCCATACTCCCTCTATATGCCCGGAAATACTTCCACACATTTCACAAACATATAAACACACCCTCCAACACCCTAACCAAACAAACAACAAAAAACACCCACATCATCCTCCAACCCTCCATATACCCCTACAGCCTACCAAATCTCTCCAACATCTTCCCCAACACACTATTATCTTCCTGTCAACACTCTACTTTCTACATTGGTATTTGAAAAATGTTGGCAGTAATTGCATACCATCGACAGTTAGCTCACACACGTACCACAGGACAGCAGTGTTATTGTTACGTCAGCGTCATGGATTGGTGGTCAGGGAGTGTGGGAGTGGGACTGGCTGGGCTGGGGACATGACGCCCAATCTTTCTTTATAACAGAATATTTTGGAAATACTCTCACGTCTGGCAGTGGCAACACGTGTAAGTTGCCAAGACATGAAATGTGGGATAATATGCGTGATGCTTAGATGAATGACGCGTTTCTAACAATTGCACTGCATTACTTAACTGTCTAAGAATAAGTTGTAGAGTGAAGCTAAAATTATATATATTTATGTACAGTAGATTAATATTTTGTCTGAAAAAAATCTTCCCGAGAGCTTTAAAAATTGGTTAATTTTCCTGTAGAAACGAAAACTTTGTGGAATTTAAATTTCAACTTTATATACATATTTAGGCATGATAACAAAATACATGACAAATATTGCGAGTTAGAATAATTGCAGCGAGCGCACTTGTTGTCTAGGTTAGATGAGGGGTGAGGGTATCACTGCAGCAGTTGTCGTACCGTACTGAGACCATACCCGCGTGCTGTTGTTATTTTTTCTACAACAAAAGCAACACAAACACGCAAACTCGCCATTTGTGATGATATTATTTTTAAAACAATCATAGATGAGTTACACCCAGTTACAGAATATTTTAGATGATTTTTCATTCCGTTCGGCTGGTAAAGTTGAATATTTAGTTGTAATTATTGAGTATTGACCTTACTGTTTGGCCTTTGTGGTGTCAGTCTGTATTCGTCCTGGTAAAAGCAAGGCGGTGTGGTAGGTGGGGTCGTGGGTGGGTGACCTTGAACACATCTCTCATTGAGGCTGTTTCCAGTAAGTCTCAACTCAACCTCCCTAGGGTGGTGCAGGGGTGGGGGGGCGGGTTGGGGAGGAGGGGAGGAACATCCGTGTTCTTCCCCTCCCCTCCACAACATCCGTCTTTTATTATACATGCAGGGTATATAATGGTCTCTCCTTTGAATTAACAAAGTGGGTTTTTTCGGTCGGCGATGATGTTGATATTTAAAGTTTCTACTAACATTCTTGAACTATCCTGCTGTTAATGATTGTTTGTATATCTGTGCTAGGTGAATTTGTATGGTGATTTCACTGAATAAATATCTATCTATTTTTACCTGTTCACCAGTTACTAATTGTTCTCGTACGGTAGACGTAATAGCCCTCTCATAGATCTACATAACTAGTGTGTGTGTGTGTGTGTACATAGGGCGTTAAGACTTAAGAGTTAAATCATCGTACTCAAGAGGTAAAGATAAAACTAATGGGACTAGTCTGTACTCAGCGGTTCGACCTCGTACTCAAAGTTTTTTTTTTTAAGAATTCTCACCAAATATGAAATGAAGAAAGAAATATATCGTTTCAGTTACTCTCAACTTCAGTTTGGATATTCCCTTACGTCAAAGAGATGAAAACCCACACAACAGAGAAAGAATTAAGGTGAAAGAGAGAGAGAATTGTTCCATGCATACGTGGTTAGGGCCTTTAACTAAATAACATTATACAATTTCTAAGGTATTACCCTAAAAAAATGTACACGTGTTACGAAAGGTGTTGATGAGTCGACGTAATTACCCGGGTGCTGTAACAAGGATGTGATAACAAGGTCAACACAGCCCTCAGTGAACGGACATATTGAACTCTTAGATCATATTCTCGTCCCTCAGAACAAAACATACAATATACAGTAGCAGTCCAGTTTTTGTGGCCAGTGTGAACATGTCCTATGCAGCGCCAAGGGCCACGGATGTCTCTCTGTAAGTCAGGTGGCCATATCCTGGTTCTGTGGCCATGGGTGTGTGAGTCAGATGTCCATATCCTGGTTCTTCTGTGACCATGGATATTTATGTGAGTCAGGGGGCCATATCCTGGTTCTGTGGCCATGGATATTTATGTGAGTCAGGCGGCCATATCGTGATTCTGTGACCATTAATATTTATGTGAGTCAGTTTTGCCATATCCTGGCTCTGTGACCATGAATATTTTTGTGAATCAGATGGTCATATCCTACACCCGGGGTTAAACTTGTTTTGGGAAGTCAATGACCAGGTAATGAGTGTAAGTGGGAGGGTTAAAGTCTCCCCGTGGTAGCTGATGAGACAATAACATTCCCATTAAGAATTCTGGGAAATGGCTGTCTCGCCTCGTGTGACTCATAACACACACACACACACACACACACACTCTAAAGTTGGTTCACTGATTTGGAACAAGTAAATATTTGATTTGTGATAGAGTGAACCATAGATTTTATCAGATTTACCCAATTCCCTCTTGTGTGACGTCAAGTTATGTTAAGAGATACTGTACTTAGATATGGGCATATGTATCTCTCTCTCTCTCTCTCTCTCTCTCTCTCTCTCTCTCTCCTAGTACTTGTCTTCATTAGTATTACTGAGGCGTGTAAGGTAGCACGAAACAGGATAAGTTCCCGGAGGTACTACTATTACTACTGTCACTACTACTACTACTACTACGATTACTTTTTTTTTAATGGCCTCCAGCCTCCCCCAATAGCCACACCTTCGCCACCATTTAATTACCTTAATATTAAATATCCTAATACATAAGTAGCTATCCTATCTGTGTTAAATTAGTTGAGCCGCAGATCTATGCGGCATTCATAGTCAATATCTGCAGCAGTTGTCGGAGTTGGGACAGAAGCTCTCGTTCCCCTGAGGCAGAGCAAAGCCGACCGGAGGAGAGAGAAAGACAGTCGACATCTCATCCAGGCTGTAACATAACTTCTGGGCTGCTGCTTCTGTTCGGAGATCAACTCCGCGAGTCTGGCGTAGAAACATCTTGCACTTGGTCCCATCCCACCAGAGGTTGTGAACACTAGAGGAGTGAAGCTGCCTTGATCAACGTCTTGAATTCTCTCGTCATATGCCCTTCTCTTGTCGTTCTCGTTCCTACTATTACTACTACTACTACTACTACTACTACTACTAATAATAATAATAATAATAATATTTTTAACAATAACAATAATTATTACAATTACATTCAGAATCATTAAAGATAATACTAACTTTGAGTGCTTGTCGTGTAGTGAAGTTTTCTACAAAGTTATTACCCTGTAGTGAAGTGCCTGTGTGTGTGATTCCTCCTGTCAGCCTTGTGTTGTTGTTCCTCAGGATGGAGGAGGCGGAGCTGGGGTGCTGCGTGTGTCAGGAGCGATACGATGAGACCCGTAACCCCAGGAACCTAGGGTGTGGTCACTCGGTGTGCACCCCGTGTGTGCAGGAGATCATCAACAGGAACCGTAAATGTCCAGAGTGCCGCCGACCCTTCTACGCCGCCACGGCCTCCTCCCTCCCCGTCAACTATCCGCTTCTCAGGCTCTCTAGAACCCTGGCGGCCATCAATCTTCAGCGTGAACAAGCAGTGGCTTCCCCTACCACGAGCGGCACATGCATCTTGGGGCAATCTGATGCCGGGGAGTGCGCCGCCCACTTGTCTCGCATGGTGCTGCGGTGTATTACATGTAAAGTGTGGGTGTGTCAGGAGTGTCTGGTGATGGATCACGTCGTCCCCCCAGACGGCACCTGTCACATCCTGCCCGTCGACCAGGCCCTGGAGGAGATGAAGAAGACTCACATGGAGAACATATCCACCATGTTCCTTACCCTTCAAGAACTTAAGAATGAGGTGGCCAATCAAATTTCACAGCTAGAGAACAACAAAAGGGTTCATGACGACACAGTCGCCAGTCTTCGGCCAATTGTACAAGGTGAGCTTGACGTTGTACAGGACCTGGAAGCCAAGAAGAAAGAAGCGATGGACAAAATATCAGAAGTTGACTGCTGGGTGGAATCACTGAGAGAGACTGAGGGATGTATCGTGGACGCTGCAACAGTGAGGGAGTTGGCCAACGCCAAGCTGGCGGCGCGGGACTGTCTGGCCAACGTGGAAGCTCGTGTTCAGCAGGAGAGGGAACGACAGGCAACTTTCCGCAAGACCATGCCGAGGTTCGGCCCCCAGGTAGGTGTGACACTCTGGTTTACTACAGCTGTTAATTCTTGTCGCTTCATTACATAATATAATCTCCCACAACAAACTTCAGCTCAACTTACACTTATAAAGATGCACTAAACAGCCTAATTCAGAGACCCAATGTAATTGAAGAAAAGTGAACTGAGTCTTGAAACTCATAGCAATATTCATTTTTCAGAACCTGAAAGGAGTGTTGCAGATGGCCAAGACGATGTACGTGGTGCACGAGGGTGGTGACGTCGAGCGGCGGTGGGCGAGAGTGAGTGTCCACGACTGTCTCCTCCACCTTCACGTCCTCCACCACACCCCACCTCCCTCACCAGCACTCATCTTCTCCGTGAGTATAAAGTATCGGCTCTGCCTCACAGTGTACATACATCTACACCTTGTGTTATGAGTGACACGGGTTTTAGGACAACTAGTCACCTGTAAGTTCTGTTTATGAACGTCCGTGTCCATGTATTCTTTTATCAAAATGCCATAGGTTTGTAAATACTTTATAGTACAGTATATGCTGCCATTGACACTCATCACAGATAAAAATATATCAAGAAAAATCTAACATGAAGAAGATTAAACACTACTTAAGATATTTATGTTCCCAGCACCGCAGGTCATGTGTTCACAGTGACCTTTTTTTTGTGTAGAATATCTGGGGGGTTTTGCCCTTGAGTGACTGTAGTGTTCATGCTTACGTACACTCGTTTATACTTTACCAGTAAGACATTAAAGTTGCGATGGGGAGCTAATTAGTTATATAAGCTAGTTATTTATACGGGTGCCTCATAGGGTGTTTGTTGTGTCGACAGTACTCAAGTTTGCGGACGCTGGTGCCACACGAGTCGCCATCGGCCTTCCTGGACTTGGGATGGGAGGGCCACACCCACGGGCGCGTATACCTCCGCATGCTAGGAGACACCACTCGTGGCCACCAGTTCCTGCTCCTGTGCTCGGGGGAGAAGGGTCCTTCCTACTCCAAGACGCGGTTCTTCCATGCTGACAGGATAGGGGAGAAAGGCGAGATCATACGAGGAGGCGACTACGAGAATAATGACGGCACAGGTGGCGCTGGACTCGTAGAGGGAGTGACCAATGGCGGAGTGTACCATACGGAGGCTGTACCGGGGCTGTTGGTGGGGGCCCACGCTAACCAGATAGGGAGACTAGGGGTGTTTGGCATCATTCTCAGTGCCTGGCCACTCAACAAGACCGACACGGGCTTCGGTGTTGTCACTAGCGGCCTGGGTACTCTCAGGTCAGCTGCCAGACACACACCCATCACCGACGTCACGGTCGAAAACTGCGGTCTTGTAATTCCAATCTAGCCGTCGGTGTCTATTAACACGGACTAATAATGTCACTGTGATGAACACACGGCCAGGACGGAAGAACAAGGCTGCTGTATTCAGTGAGACGATTAGAAAAACTGAATTGTGATCTCTGTTCAAAACTGTTGGCACAAGACTGAGTTGTGGGTATTTTACCTGGACTAATAATGAGACTCAACCCGCTACACTACCGAAACTGGGTAAGGAGGGATTAGGCTAATCAGTTCACTCCCGTTAATCTTTGCCTTATAGAGAGCTTTTTTATATTGTTAATTTATAATGAAAAAAGTCGATCTCCATAAAATAATCACATTTAATGACTCGCAAATAAATGTCAGAATTTGCCAAGTGTAGAAGGAATTTTGGATAGAATTTAACTGTACAGAGAAATATCGAGTCCCCTTTGTTATTATTCTAATAATTTTTCTTGCATTTATGACAAGTATTTTAGTTCTTATTTATCTACTTATAACCTATCATCTTACTTTGTTATTGGTTTCATTATTATTATCTATTATCAAATTATTATTCATATTTTTATTACCAATATTACTGTATTGTTATTTACTTTGTACAGGCTAATGCGTAATAGAAGACAGACTAACTGACAAACAGGTTAGGAAACTGACAGGTGGCGAAGAGAGTATGTTAATAATTAGGTTGGCGCCAACTGAAAAACACACCTGCTGAGTGGTATTAATGATACTACAGTAAAGACGTACGTACACAACACAGTATTATCCCATCGAGATATTAAGACATTCATCGCTATTTTATTTTGTATTTTCTAGATATTCAAAAGTACAATACCGCTGGGTACTGTAATGCGCAGATATCAAAATACAAGTGTATTAATCATTACTTCTGTTACTGACCTTCACTAATACACCATTTTGCTCACTAGTTAAGTCAAATAAAATATTATAACTAAGCGGGTTTTTTTTATCCTAATAAGACTATAAACAGTAAATGTTATCCCGTTCTGAAGACACAATCAAACACACGGTGACAGTGCAAAAAAGGGCAATTTTAAGTGTGTTTCTTTTTAAGAGAAAAAGAGACATACAGAGAGACAGCGGGAGAGAGAGATGTGGCACTCTCTCTCCCGCCCACTAGTGGATATGCGTATAACAGATTGAATGATAACGAACTTCAAGTCTGATATTCTCTAATCGCATGGTGGTAGAATTGGTGTTGCATCAACTTCACACACAACAGACTGCACGAAGCGCACAAGAAGAAGTTTACATAACGATGTTCCTGTAACAAGATTGAGGTGAGTTATTTTACCTTATGCCTATTATTATTGTTAAATTGATTTATTTTGAAATATTTCAACGTTTTGTGTTTACTTTGTTGTTTTTAAAGGTTTCTAAGTTTAATTTGGAGAGTATGTAGGTTTTTAAAGACAATTTTACCATTTGGCCTTTTTTGGCCTTTTATTCCTGTGTTTTTGGCCATAAGCAACTGAAACCATCTGGCAACCCTGGTCAACCAAAGCTTTGCGTCACCATCTCAAATGTCAACACTTGCCTAACCTCAAGAAACTGGGTACTCCGTTAGCAGTAGTTCCCTGACGTTGTAATTCATCTGTAGATTACCCCCAGCTTATTTCACGCTATTAAACACCCTTTGAAATAATTACAGAAATTTAGAATACTGTATGCTACAGCTTTCTTGCTCCACTAGCAAGAAAAAGATATAGTTCTTGTCAAGCAAAAGTTTTATTCCACGAATAGAATAGTCACTGGCCTCATGTATTCTGCACATAAGGTTGCGAAAGTACACTATTAATTTATAACTTCAAAACATACCCTTTCCGGCCTTTCGACTGAACGACTCCATTCTCTCAGTTACTAAATTTTGCAGCTAAGAACGAGATTTAGGATTCATTGTTCAAAAACATAAGATAGCCTTGTCAAAATTATAATACAGAACATGTTTAACTTACTTAATAATTGAAAATTGGTCAAATATTGGAAATTCCTCTTCATGGCTTTGAAAGCTGCAGGCATCCACGACCTGTCTGCTACAGTCATCCTCTTAGTTGGCAAACTTTTTCACATCTAACTTTACTTCAGCAGAGTATAATACTGTAATTTATTCACCTCAATAGCCTAACCTCTAAAGTCTAAACCAATGTTTAATTTTGCAATACACTTGTAGTGGATTTCTCCCCTACAAACGCTGTTTGTCGCTGAGTAGCCGACCACCAATTCCCCAGTGTATGCCTCGTGGTCTAGGTCAACCAGCGCCGCCATACACCAGGAGCGGGGGTCAACTACTAAGCCACGCCTACCCCCCGCTATTTAAGACCTGACCTCGTGGTGACCTGTCTCTTGCTACCTACAGCCGCAGCCAGCAACACCTCCTCCGCCGCTGCCTGGCGGCCCTCGCTCCTCCTCCGCCTGCCTGGCGGTCCTCTCTCCCGCCGGCGAGCATGGCGACCCACAAGCTGTCCTCTGAGCGTCCTCACCAACCAGCTCTCTCTACATCACGCTTGTAACCATGATGCCTTCCCAGCACCAAGCTGCATTGTACATCCAATACAACATGTATATAGAGAGCACATTGTGAGTTTCCTTTCTCCATCCCATCCTGAGTGTGAACCAAACATCTCATACCCCACACACTTTTCATAAAACCACATTTAATAGCGATTTGTTCTATTATTTTGTATGTACCGATTCTAAGTACAAGTGCCAACCATATTGTGTAAATATTGGTATACTGTATGATGCAATACACAAATACGGGGGCCCACAGTACAGTACAGTATATGTTTATTGGGCTATTATACATGTAATGCATTCTACGTACAGTACACTAGGGGTAAGTTTTAAGTATGTGCACATTTTTTTTGGTGTTACCGTATCTGTGTGATTGTGTCTATCGAACAAAGTCGTTTTTAATTATTATACACAATAAAGAGATATCGCAACACTTGTTTCATGTGACCCCATTTTAATGAATTCACATACTGACATACACTTGATGTATCAAGCTCATCATGCAGTATTGTACAGTAAATAAGTCTACTATAAGCTAGGGAAAAAATAATTAGCCTACCGAACCCGACTATGGGAGGTAAGCCTCTCCTTGCTGAGTGTAGGATAAGGTCCACGATTCGATTGCGGTGTAATTAGTGGTCATAATAATGCTTGGATTATTTGAATTATATTATTCAATGCTAATTACTCACCAACTATGGGTTTCCAAGGTCCAATTTAGGTGTTTTTATGTTATTCTGTAAGTACGTAATTAGTTAACCTTTTAAATTTCAATTCCGAGAGTAAAGTGTATTTCGGTTCAAAAACTTACCAAGGCATAAGGCTAGTGGCTGGAGGTGTTCGCTGCGGTGAGTGAGGGAGTGACCGTGGCCCCAACAACAGCACCAACAGCTATCAACTATTACACTCACGCAGCATCTCAGGTGGGAGAGTGTGTGTGTGTGTGTGTTAATAGCACCATGATCCCTCCATAGCCAAAACCAACAGGTAAATAAAGCACATATAGACTAATGGATAGAGAAAAGGAAAATAGAACATAATATAAAGTGTGTATGAATTAGGATGGTTTTGTTGCATTGTAGACGGTCATTGTAAAGATGCTGAGATTGCTTTCCATTCAAGATAGTCCTTGAGAAAATTTCAGGTGTAACATACTATATAGTAAATATATAGCCTGAAAAGCACTTTATATTCTGTCAAGGTTTAGTTCTATTCTTAAATTTGGATGTGATTTTATGGTATATTCTTTTATGTTTGTTTTATGATCATTGGATGTCTGGTGGTGATGGGAGGAACAATATGGGTAATAGTATAGATTTCTAACTTATGATAGGTAAATTATGTTATATTAAACATTAATTAAGGTATTATTTTAGTTTCGGTCATGCTGGATTTTTAGGAATTAGGTTAGGTTAGATATCCATACTTTTTCTGATGGTGTTAGGTTAGGTTAGGTTAGATAAGATATCCAAACTGTTTTTCTGATGGTGTTTGGTGTGTTTTGAACGAGTTGGACCTTTATATCTGTCGGAAATCATATAATTTGGATATCTAAATACAGGGATGACCGAAACTAAATTTTTGCCTTAATTAGGACACTTAACGGTACAGTAGTTAATTTGAATCGACTTCCGGTGTTAAAAGTCCAGAGTTAATATTCGTTTTTATACCGATATGTATTTCTGATTTTTTTAAGTTAGGTTAGGTCAGGTCAGGTGAATTAAAAAAACAAAACAAAATATACTGTACTCTAGAAAGATAATATCTCATACCATTTGGGGAAATTGGGATAAAAACGAATTTTTATCAAGTCAGGTTTAGTGGTAGAGACCCAGGTTTGATTGAGGACTGATTGATATTTTGGGATGGTGCTACAGTAAAAGTGTGCTTGCATCTCACCGGTATGTCCCAAGTTTAATCCCAGGTTCAGATGTAAGAAGAATAACCCTATGAAACTTGGCATGATAATGAAGACAAACACAGCAAAGACGATAAAAGTACTAAAAGTATAAAAGTATCAGAAAAAAGGTAAAAATGTATCAGAAAAAAATATTGGAAAAACAGTAAAAAGGGATAAAAGTATCAGAAAAAAGTATAAAAGTATCAGAAGCCATATTGAGCATTGAACAAACCACCATCTACCCCCCTTCCCCCCCCTAAAAAAATTATTCGGTTAATATATGATTTAAGCTCACTGCCTAGAATATAAAACTGACCTTGCAGAAATGGGGAAAAATACTACACATGGTATCGTCCATAGGCAGGTGGCACGGAGCTTTCATATCGACGGAGAAAAATAAGGAAAAATTAAATCCCAAAATTCCTATTCCACCACCCAATTTACTTTATTCTTGAGGTAATAGATAAGTTTTCTTCTTTAGATGTTTTTCTTTTAAGTAGCCAGTTAACCCAAAGATCATGAAAGTGAAGAAAAAAAAGTAAGTGGCAACCCTTTCTTTACTGTACAGTATTCTTATTTGATCAAGTTCGGTCCAGTTGTTAGAAATGCTCGTCAGAATGTCTATTACTAATTGAAGTTGTTGGCACGATTTTAAGAGTTTCTATAATAACATTTTCCTTTTACAGAATCTCAAATGAAAACTTCAAGAATCTCAAACCTCTACCCTGTAATGTACTACTCGTCTGTTTGACCACAAAACACTGCAGCTGCTATAGTAAGTGACTTAGCTACACCTTAGGTTCAGTAAAATGAAAAGCAGCTGGCCCATTGTTTTAGTTTTGTCTTCAGTTATATTTAGTGTACAATATAAGCATATTTTTTTGTAATGTAAGTTAACTTTGATAATGTACAGGACATCATCATCATCATCATCATCATTTGAAGAAACTGCCATCCCATATTGTAATCTTAAATGATCCCATAAAATATTCACATCTTTTTGTGTTAGATATTCTGAGAGGAAGTGCTTTTTTCCTAAAGTTTGCACTCATTTCACTAATACAGTAATGTAGTACATTATATCAGAAAACTGTACAGCCAATAAGGTACAAAGGGTTATCTGAACTGGTACAAGCTCTTATTATAATTACAATACTAATTATGATGCCCTAATACAGTAGCAGTTGTCCCATGGGCACTGTCTGTTCAAACCAGGTTAAGGGTCTGCACAATCACAGGTAATAGAGTATCATTACAACAACAAATTACCTACATTTTATCTCACACATGCGTTTAGACCAGTGGTTCTCAACCTTGTTTGCCCCATGCACCCCTTTCACCATATGTCAGAATGTCATACCCCCCTCCTTTCCAAGATTGTCTGCCTCAAAAAGTGCATTCCAAATAATATGCATATAATACTGAAAATCCTTTATTTTTTCCATATTAGTATCAGTTCCCCCCCTGAAAACCTGAGGGGGAAATTCCCTGGTTGAGAACCCTGGTTTAGACAGTATTAACAAGTACGTGTTAGGCACCTCTTCATGATAATCTTTTTTTTATCAGATTTGGTAAAACTGATGTGAACATGAATCCATGGAGCAAGCCCACAGATGAGGTGAATTTATTCGTGAAGTTTCATGCAATGTACAGCATTTATGTTTAGGTATTCATGTGTGTTCTTGGATCCTAGTGTGTTTGTATGTGTTTCATTGAAAAGGAAAGGTATTCAGTAAATTATTCATACCCTTCAAGTACATCAAATCCAGTACAGTACAGAACAGTACCTAATTATGAGTTGGGGTATTGATGGAGGTTATTGGCAACATTAATCACATTGCCTCCTTGTGTACCAAGAGCTTAGTTATTTTGTATGCTGTGCTTCTAACAGGCCGTCAGTACCTTAAGATCTACTTTCACTGTATTTCTAACTTACACCTTGAAGGCTCCCATAACACAGGCTGTTTATTGGCAGACTGGGATATGCCTTCTCTTCCTTATAATGCAAGTCAGGGTTACTGTGTTAATATTTTTGGAAGTCCTGCATGTATCAATCAGTTCCTGCCTGACAGCAACTAGAATGTGATAATAATGCCTAATCCACAGAAGCCTGGAAAATGACCATAAAACAATAATCATCACCCCCGAGCAAGCATTCTGGAGATCAGAAGGTAGATCCAAGCCACTCAGTAAATTGCATGTATATTACTTTTACTTACTTTTACTTTTATCCTCTTCGCCACTGATCGGCTTGTTAGCCGCTTAAGCGATCGGCCACATCTCTGATTACTTTCCTTTTCATTTATCTTCTTCACCTAAAGATCGGCTCGCTAGCTGCCCGGACGATCGGTCACGTCTCTGTCACGCACTGTTGGCAAATACTGGGCATGCACCGGCTCCTGAATGTACCTGAACCCGCTCCAGTGTTGGTCAAGTCTTGTCTTAAAAGAGCTCACACTCGGTGCCGTCACAACACTCTCTGGTAGATTGTTCCAAGAGTTTACAACCCTCACTCCAAAAAAGTTTGCCCTCACGGTTTTCTGGACTTGCGGCTTCTTCAATCTTGAGCTGTGACCCCTTGTGGGGCGAGCGTCCGCCAGCTCCAAGTAAGGACACTCAACTGAGTAGTGCCCCCTGAGATGCTTATACACCTCAACTAGGTCCCCCCTTGCCCGTCTGTAGTATAAGTTAGGCAGGTTCAGGCGCTCCAATCTCTCAGGGTAGCTGAGGTGCCGAAGTGCAGGCACCAGTCTGGTGGCCCTCCTTGGAACATTTTCAACCAACTGATAGTCCCTAGCATATCTCGGGGACCAGATGGGGTGACAGTACTCCAGATGGGGAAGCACTTAACTCCTGAAGATCGTTACGAGGGACGGACCATCTAGATATCTGAACGACCTTATAAAACCCAATAATTTATTTGCCTGATTTACCTTCTTCTCGCAATGGCCCGAGAACTTCAGCTCATTGTCAACATACACACCTAGGTCCTTCTCACACACAGTCTCAACTAGTGCAGTTTCTTCATCCCGTTGGGACATATGATACGCCTCCTTACCGTTGGTATGCCCCAGGTGCATCCACTTACACTTCGTGACATTGAATCTCAGCAGCCATTTCTTCGACCATTCCTGGAGCCCACAGAGGTCCTTCTGCAGTTCTTCACAGTCCGCTTGGTTCTTAATTTCCCGAAATAACTTGGCGTCATCGGCAAACATTTGTATGGCGGAGTGTACAACGTCAGGCATGTCATTTATGAAACAAACAAACAACAGTGGGCCCAATACACTGCCCTGTGGTACCCCAACTTGTGACAGGTACAGATGACGATTTCGTGCCATTAATCACCACACTCTGCTTGCGGTCATGTAGAAAGTCTTCTATCCACGCTAGGACATTTCCTCGAATTCCGTACCCTTCCAGTTTGATTTTCAGCCTTTTGTTGGGTACACTGTCGAAAGCGTTGGCAAAATCTAGGTAAATATTGTCGATATTACCACCCCGTTCCAGAATATGGGTCCAAATATCCAATACCTTGAGCAATTGTGTTAAGCAGGAGCGCCCCGGCATAAAACCGTGTTGGCAATCTTTTACAAGGTTGTTTTGTATTAGATGTTCCATTGCGGCATCTCTGATAATACTCTCAAGTACTTTACATATTATGCTGGTCAGGCTCACCGGTCTATAGTTGTTCGTGGAGTGACGATCACCCTTCTTGAAGATAGGACTCACATAAGCCACTTTCTATTCACTGGGGACCATTTGTTCATCCAGGCATTTACAAAACAGGATCTTCAGGGGCTCTGCAAGCTCGTTGCACAACTCTCTTAGCACTCTAGGATGCACCATGTCAGGGCCGGGACTCTTATGGACCTTTAGCCTGGACAGTTTATTTCTAATACCCTCTTCTGTGAACACAATGTGGGTCAGTGCTGTGTCGAACCGTCTGTCCTCAAACGCAGGAAGGTTATTTGCATCCTCTCTTGTGAACACCGAGGAAAAGAAGCTGTACAATGCCTCAACTTTATCCTGATCAGAATCTGCGTAACTACCATCCACCAGCCTCAGGTCTGATACTCCTACTCTCGTTTTCAATTTCGACTTTGCATAGTGGTAAAATGCCTTTGGGTTTGACTTGACCTCACTTGCAACCAGCCTCTGGAACTCCTTTTCAGCCCTCCTACACTCTATCTTTGCTTGGTTTCTGGCTCTTGCATACATCCTCCTGTCTTGCTCATCGTTTGACCCAACCCACGTCTTGAATTTCTGGGTTTTCTTCTTAATTTTGTCGTATTGCAGTATGAGAGCTTAAATTACCATGTAAATTTTAACTAAAAATTTTCTGCAGTAAGTGGCCTTTAGACAGGTGAGGAGAGGTTGTACATTATACTTGGTTCTGTAGTCCACACTGTGTAGAGTAAGTGTGTTCATGGATATGTACAATATATGATAGCCTCTATGTACTGTACACAGTACAATATATGTTAATAGAATATATGTGTTCTAAGACACCTTATGGATTATGGTTACTCATTCCTTTAATATACTGTACTGTTTGGTTTATGAGATAAGTTGTATGTTAAGTAGTGTATTGTTTTCATGTACTGTACAGTACAATACAAGTACTGTATTATATAACATTATAATTAATTTGTTGCCCATCTTTTATTTATACGCCACCATCTTTAATCTAGAACACTGAACAGTACAGTACTGTGCCCACATTGACAAAGATAAACCCTTTTTTTGTCCTACAGTTTCTAGGACTCTTGGCATGCTGTGTGCCACTGCCTTTAGCACCTCACTTGCTGTTTTCACTTGTAATAATAATAATAATTAACGGTTTATTGAAAAAGTTCTGCAGCTCGAAGGCTGAAAATATACATTGGACATAAATGACTTATTACATACATTGGTGGTTTAACAAAAGCCTTCATTAGAGAAAGGTAAAGGAACATACAGTGAACATACAGATTAATGTAGGTGTTGAACAGCAAACTCGTAGTGTAGTAACTCCCTCCCAGATGGTGTTAGGAGGAACTCACGTGGTGTAGTAGTTCCCTCAGATGGTGTTATGAGGAACCTGGCGTGGTGTAGTAATTCCCTCGCAGATGGTGTTTGATCCACTATGTTCACTGCTTATTTAATTCCCCCTTCAAGATTCCTATCAAGTTGCTAAGTGATAGTGCTGTAATTGGTATTGTTTTGCTTTTTTTATTCATCATCTGTGGAATATTTTTTTTTTATTTGTTTATTTTCTCTTTATTTAGCCTGTTTACCTGAACCAGCCTGTGGTATGATTCCTTGAGATGTTAGTGTCTCCTTCTGTGTACCCCAAACAATTATACCTGTACAATGATGATACCGACATTGATCGTGAAGACCAGCCAGTGAGTATGGACCTCCATTTCTAGTCCCTTATAATATTCCTGCTTGGTTTAAAAAATCAACAACTTTTTTTGTCGCGTGACTTAGAAATCAATAGAATTCAATGGGACCTTTCACCCAGAAGACCATTGAGCTCCATTGTTTTCTGAAGTTGAGCGACAAAAAAAACGCTTATGGTTTAATAGATACTGTGACCAAGATGCATCATTACTTGAGAACCTGCATACTCACACTCCATAAGTATGCTCCCCCTCACATGGCAACAAACTTGTAATGATTCAGGGCTTGAGTGTTTCCAGGATTAGCAAGCTATGTCAGTGGGTGTGTGTTGACACCTGGTAGGGCCACCCATGCTGAATTGATTGCTGGTGACGTTTCAAACAAAGAGTTAACCCAAGGTACAGAATCAAAGTAAAGTGCCATAAAAATTTTAAGTACAGGTACTGGTAATTGGATTTATGCAAAGATAATACAGTACATGTTTTTTTTAAGTTTTGCAGCATTGTTAGTCATCTTGCAAGACCTTTTCCTAGGGACAATTTTGAAAAGGGTTGGCCATTCTTCAACAAAAACCTGTGTGAGGTGCTGCATGGATGTAGAATTATTATACAGTACTGTATCGGCTTATTGTGGCATTGGCAGTTTGTAGTTAGGCCACTTTTTGGATTCCTTACCTTAGCTTTTAATTACCTCCTATGTGTTGCAGGACCTCACTAGCACAGAAATTTTATTTTGTACTTCCTCCCTTTCATCAAACTGATTTTAGATGTATGAGTCTCCTTGGCATGACTAGTGGCTATTAATCCCGGAAATCCTGCTTTAGAGTCGAGTCAGAAAAAAGAGGTGTGCATCCCTCCCTCCGCTCTTTAGGTTCTGTTGCAGAGTACAGCTGGATTGAGGAGTGTTACTGTAAATCTAGTGCAACTGATGATAGACAAGGAAAGACCGGTGTGAGCAAATTGCTGTAACACCAATACTCAGTTGGCTTCCGACCTTAAGTAGAGTCTTTTGCCTTCTAGACTCTTCTCTGACAATTACAGTTATGATGAGAGAGTTGAATTATTTGATTAGTGTCAGCTGTCAATATCAGATGTTAGCCTGGGTTGTAAACCGTACTGTATCGTCTAGGCTAAAATACATGAGTTACCTTGTCCTGGCTTGACTATAAAGTGAGATTTTCAGGATAATCATTTACTGTATTTTTATGTTTTTCTTTTGCCGTACAATTACCACATTCTTTGGTATAAAGTGATATAATTAGTTTAAAAGAAAATAACATGTATTCTGCTCATGAATGGTATTTTCATACATGGTATGAGTACAGTAAATGCACCGAGGGTATTGGAATTACTGTATAGAACTGTACCCCATGTAAGTGAAATGACTCGTGCCTTTACCCATCAGGTCATTTAGTATCCTCCACCATCAACGAGTTTAAAGATGCTATCGGGTTATGCATTTCATCCTGTAACCACTGGTGGATCCAGGGTGGGGGGAGGGCACCTGGGTGCGTGCCCACCCCCACCCCAATATAATATGGCCTCCAAATATCCCTGAAAGTGGTCAGATATAAAAAATTTCTCCAGGAGGGGTTTACATTCTCTATCCCCTCCCCCCCTTCCCCACGGGATCCCCCATCTGTATAGGCTAGCTATGCTTGCCATTGACTTTCAAACACATCAGAGTACCCCCAACTATTTTTCTAGATCTGCCACTGCCTGTAACCCTTTGAATCCTCCAGAAAATATTACACAACATGACACATAATCATTCTCTGTTGTGAAAATGGTGATACAGAACAGATACAGTACTTTGGTAGTATGAGTTTTATCTTAAGTTACACCAGGATGAAAAGACGTAGGAGAAACCCTGCCCACTGAGGCTTAAACTTTGGCTATTTGTAGTTCACATGAAAGTTGAAGAGAAAGGGTAGAATATTTTGATAATCCTGCAAATTTAACTCAGAGATGGCATACTTTTTTGGTGTTTGTCAAGTGAAAGGTCTAGAATGAAAACTACGGTACAATACTATGTGAAAACTGCTGACTCTTTGAAAATAGTTAATCTTTTTATTCTATATTATTAAATGTTTCTTAATGTTTCAGGTTCTTATAAAAAAAGGAAGTAATCTGTCATAATTCCTGATACCCATTCTATCAACACAGATGGTCAACTTGCGGATTGGGCGGATGGTTCAACGGTCCTATGTTTGTCGCAGATGTGGTTGTATACAGCCTGTCGTCATTGCATTATTACTTATTTCAGCCTTCATATTTCTCTTCTTCCAAATGGTTAACATGCTTCCACGTAAACCAGGTTAGTTTTCATGTGATTATTAGTATTATATACGTATATTTTTATTTGGGGGCTTTACGGTCCTTCACCAGGCTATTTCTCACAATACTGTACTTGTTCTGTGTTAGGTTGACCCAAGTGAGTACTGTACTGTAATAATCAATAAATCAACAAAGCCTGACATAGTTGAAGGTTGTCTTAGGGTACAGAAGTCCTCGGTATGTGGAATCTAGTATTAAAAATATTCTGTAGTAAACCTTATCAGTTACTGATTTTTAAATGATATTATTGTTGTGTGATGTTGCTGTATTCTAGAGTGCAGAATATTGAGACTTGTTGAGTGTATGATGTTTATTGGTGTGTGGAATGAGTGAAAGTTTTGTTTTAATGTTCTTCTCTTTAAGCTGACTTTACTTATGTAGGGAAGAACTCCAACTCCCATCCTGAGGACAGATTTCTTAAGAAGATTTAATGTTCTTTGACAGGATCCATCTTGAGCATCTATCTATCTATCTCTCTATGCTCCAGGATGACTCACAGTCTCCTTGTATCCTTATCCACGTAGAATTCCAAACAACGCTCTGTGATTTGGTCGGGTTACACTCACTCTGTGCTTCCATTTTTCCTTCCAGGTAGTCTTCCCCTCTTCCTCTTCATTTCTTGCTTTTGTCGTAAACTGCTTACATACTATTGGTACTGTCCCTAATTCCAAAAGGTTCTTACTGCCACTTAGCCTCTTTCACAATTATTTTTTGCAGCAGCAGCCAGTTTCTTAATGACATTCTGGTGTATGAATCTCACTGTCATGTGCATGAATATCATCAATATTTTTCTAATTGTTACAAGTCGAACACAACTACCTAACCTCTCCTACTGTGTATACAGCCACTTACAATAACTTACCAAGGCCTTGGGCTGCCCGGCCTTTTTCTTTTGGGAAATACTACTAAGTAAAGAATATGTGGCTAGACAAAGGGCTCTTTTAAATATTTATTGGTGTTATATTTTATAGCTTATGGGTCAATCATTAAGGCCCCAGTAAGCAGCCAGTCAGCCTTCTCTAGGGGGCTGACTTCTTTCTGAACTAGAGAAACTGCCATAAATTTAATCAGTGCTAAGTGAACCTGGTGATTCAGTGATTAGTCAGGGCAGAACCTCAACAATGATTTGGCAATGCTTCAAAAAGATTTCAAGTCAAAAGTTCACCGAGGTTAATCCCCAAGTTAGTTTACCTGACTTGGTCGTAAACTTGGGACTGTGAAGTTGAGTCCACAGCTTTCTCACTGTCTACAAGCTGTCAGCACATGTTGTTTCACTCTCCAGTATTCATTGCAAAGTTTATTACCATACTATCATATGAACAGCAATATTGCATACCACAGTGTTTTGTTTAGTGTACTATTTTGATTGACTTTCCTGCTGTATTTCAGTAGTGTCCCTAATGGTTGACTGATGACAAGCCACTTGCAGTAATAGCTATTGCATCCTACACTGTGCTTCAGACATTGCAACTTGATACACTGCATTACCAACCCAGTCTTTCATTATTACTGAAAGTTGTTTGGTGAAAGGTACTCTCTCTCTCTCTGTGAGGTTAACCCTTTGTTTGGAAAGTTTTGAGGGATTATAGAACACAGAAAATCAGACTTTGGTGTTGTAAGCTTTGTAGATTTTTCACGACAATCTATTTTCCTTCAAAAGTTTCAGTGCATAATATATATATTATTTTTTATGTGTACTATATACAGTTTTGACCTTTAACCTCTGGCTGTGACCTTGCCCTTAAATACACAGACCAACCACTAATACTTGGCAATTTAGGTTCTGCTAATACATATTGTGGAAAGTTTTATAAGATCTTTCATAGTTACTCAAATATGGCTCTGTGCTTAGTGACGTGTAAGTGTGTTACCGATGAACGTCTATGACTAAAGTATACAGTCTATACCTTGGGGTTCAAGGATTTGTTCCCAGGAGCCTCTAGACTTGCATGCTCTTTGAATCACTGCCAAATTGTGATTGTGGCTCTACACTTACTATCCACTGATTCATCTGGCAAGGGGTTGATTACAAATCCTTAGTACTTATCTACTCAGGCCAGTGTCCCTGCCTCAGAATGCAAATTGCTTACTGAAATGTTCCTATTATTGTTGAGCTATTCACATTATGTAACACATTTTGGTGAATTTGGATACCTCACACTTCAATGTAACCCCTGTAACACCCCATCACTAAGTATGTAACACATTGTTAGACATCTCTCATAAGAAAAGAGCATCTTCTTGGCTACTAATCTTCAGTCCAGAGTAAGTAAACATCAAGAAAAACATATACGGTATAGTCAATTTTAATTACAATTTGAGCACAGAATTATCAGTGTGTTTTGCTGGGGTCATGCACTGGGGTCATGTTCCTGCAGTTGAAAATAACACTACCTGAGCACCTCCGGCACGGGTAGTTGGCAGTTGGGAGCAATATGATGGCAAGGATGGTAGAATGATTGGCCTTCTTTTTGATGTCACAGTTCATTGCCCGTTTGGTTTTAATGTGATTTATGGAATGGTACTTCAACTTAACTAATTTCCCAATCTTCCCTTAACCCCCATAATACAGTGTACTCTATAATGCTGATTCATTTCTTTGCCTACGCTGCAGTAAGTAATATGTGAACAGCCCTTTCTTGTTAAATTGGTGGTATGGTAATGCTTACATTTGGGATTACAGTAATTTCATATCATAATCGTTCTCTGAATTTTCTCCATAATTGTGCATTGCTTCCCTCACTTATACTTGGATGGCACATGCAGAGATATTAAGAATTCAATTAAGATTCAACCCAGTACTGTACACTTATTTCAGCATGGGCCTCAGGCAGCTCCCTCATGCCAGGAAATCCACAGCGAAAACAAAGTGAGTGACATTGCTCATCCCACATTAGACCCTCCTTTAAGTAGAAACACACAAAATTTCCCCCTCATCATTACTGTACAAATGGTATAGTAACAAAATCAAAAGGTTAAAGATATTACCATAAAGATATTTTACATAGCAGTAGATGAAGAAAAAGAATGGAAGCTCTGATATTCAGCTGCATTTCTGATTACTTGTACTGTACTGTACTGTAGGGTAAAGTACTCTTGACCTTGGTTATTAAAATGTTTTACCTGTAAGGATTACAGTTGAGTTATGGCCTTCATATAGGTCACCCTAATGTTTAAAAGGAAAGATTTGATAAGATCTTTAAAGAACAACTCCAGACCCTATATTTAAATGATGCCAGTTCAGAGCAACCTGTAACTGTACACACTTTGGCTTTTGGGGGGTTTCTCAGTATCTCCAGGACCATGGCAAGTGGTGGTAATCTGAACACCTTTCACTCCTAAGACCAGATAATGTGGTGATGCTGCACTGCTCAATCTTTCTTCTGTGGGGAATATACTGCACTTCGTAAGGTGAAGTCACAAGCCAGATTTCTTGTAACAACTCTCTTACTCCAGTCTTCTGTGTCTTTAGGGACAGGTGTGTTTGAGGTTGGACTGGTCCTCTTAGTGATTGTTATGATGTTAGGTTAGAGTGGATGTTTTTCTCCTCCATCATAATTTGGCAGCAGTTTATGTATATACTGACCCAATGATGGTATGCAGGTATTGCAGCACAAGGGAGCTGTCACTCCTAGTGTTGTGTGTATCCAGTCTGACACAGTTGTTGTCTAATTGTTATTTTTTTTATATGGTTTTTCCTGGCAGACTGGGGGCCAGCTAGAGGGTTTCAAAGATCATTATTGATTAGGTCTGAGGTAGCATCGGAGATAAGTGCTTTTCTGGTATCTCTAATTCCATGAACAGTCTTACACTGCTACACTCGTTTATGATGAGATGCACAGTAATTCACACCTTGAGATTAATTAGGCCTGTACATATTATTTTCCTTAAAGAATTACTCTGTGCTTTTCCACACTTGAGGATCAAGTGCACCTATGATGACTGATGCTTTGTGATGGGTTGTTGTCAGTGACAGCAGTTGGGAGTGTCCTGTTTTCCCTAAATCAGAGCTACCCCTTCCAGTAGTGAGTACTGTACATCTATTTTACGTGCTGGTACACAAACAGCTCCAAAGTTCTTCCTGGATAAAAATTTTCTGAAACCACGAGGGAGGCAAAAAGTATGAGCTGGAAATATGACTGATTTGCAAAATCCCTTTTTCTGGCATAGCTTGTAGCTAGGCTGTCGGACACCTTCCATCCTTGGTTTCTTTGCTGAGTTGGCTAGGAACTTAAAACATGACAGGTCGGTTCTGAACAGGAAACAGAGCCACATGTTTTGGTGCGATGTATGCTGATTGGTTTGACATTTTTGCCAACAGGCCTCCTATCACTCCAGAACAACTGCTGTACCACATCCTGTAATTTTATACAGTTTGTGGATGAAAGGTGAAGGTCATTGATGTTTCCTTTGGGTACTGGTATATGTTGCCACCCCAGAGTTAAACACTATAACCTAATTGACGACCTGTATAATAAAATCCGCGCTATGATGTGTGTTGCATGATTTTTTGGTCTTAAGAATGTAAGTCCCTTTACATTATATTTTAAACCTGAGGGAATCACAGAAAACTACATTGCCTGTGGAGCAGATAAGGAGATGTAGTAAGCATTTAAGATATTTGTCTAGTTCCACGCTTCCCTACTAATGCCTCAATTGACCTCATCAGCCACCTTAAACAGTGTTGGATGCTTTGAGCAAAAGTTCATATTTTTCACTTAAGTTTTGAAAAGTGGTCTTGCATTGATGTTTTACTGTAAAATTAAGGTATTAACATCGGGTTTATGGCCTATAGATGTCTCTTTGAAAAAATTCCCCTCTGGAGTTGTCCTTTAAGTAAATAACCTAAGACTGTAAGGACTTATAATGTGCATACTATCTAGCTATGAACATAGGAGGTAACACTTTAAACTACCTTCTTTTTTTTTCTTCTCAGCCACATTGCTTTTGCAGCACCACAAAGTTTGATGCTTTGTTGTATCTTGTTTCATGATATTCAAGCTTTGATTATTTTCCATTGATTGACTTTATTTATTGTTATTATTTACAGTCCTTGTTTCCCTTTGCAAGCTTTCATAAACTGGATTTTCCCTTGATTGCAATACAGTGAAACCTCTATTTAGCGGACTATATGGAGAGGAAAGTCCGTTATATTAAGAGTTCGTTAGATATGAAACCTCCATCTAATGAACTACTGTACTGTAAAGGGAAATGAAAATCCAATATATTGAGGTGTCCGTTAGATGTGAACCCCCAATCTAACGGATTATGTGAAGAGAGAAGTCTGTTACATGGAGGATTATACTGTATATTCTTATTTTATGTGTTTGTAATTTTTCACAGGTACCGGTACAGTATACGTATTAGAGTTTTTCATAATTTTTTTTTGCTTTCCCACCTCTTGTAATATGCTTACTTATGAAACCTTATTCTATTCTGTATATATATATATATATATATATATATATATATATATATATATATATATATATATATATATATATATATATATATATATATATATATATATATATATATATATATATATATATATATATATATATATATATATATATATATATATATATATATATATTCACATTTCTATCATCTCATACAAACCCATAGCCTTCTTTTTTCTCCCTTTTACCACTCCTTATCACAACAACAGTAAAGACGATGCTAAGAGGTGATCAACAACACGTAAGAGCCAGCAAGTGGTGGTAGTGTTGCAGGAGATTCACCAGCCAGTGTTTAAAGTACAGCTGCAGTCTTATTTAACACAGAAAGATGCACAGCTGTTTGGTGACTCAAAACTTTTAAGAGGGAGATAATGCAGTGTTATGCTAGTTTTAGTATACTTAAAGATATTCAAGATTACAGTAGATATATGGAGATACTTAAATAGGTGGAGATATTAAAAGATTAGATTTACTAGCATTAGCCCACCCGGGCACAGGTCACTGACCAACATTGGGGCCTGGAGGGCGAAAATATGATGATACCTTTGATGATAATAATAAGGAACCATGAATAAATACAAAAATGAAAAAAATATCAATAGTGAGAAATGATATATGTATGTTGTGATGTCAAAGTAAAAGAAACAATTGAAACCCTGCAATTGTGTGTAAATGAGGCAGAAAGTCAGATCAGCAACCTGGGACTTGGTCACAATTTTCGTGATACATAAATAGTGTGAGCTATAGAGAGGTTAAATAGATGAAGAGATAAATAAATAGATGGAGATATTAAGAGGTTAGATAGATGAAGATAAACATAAATAGATGGACAAACAGTGAGAAACAGACATAGATATATAACAACATACAGTGAGTTCTGCTATAACGCGTGTTTTGATAACGCGAATTGGCTCTAACGCGATTTATGAATAGAGGAACGATATTTGTATAACTCGAACGCTTGTTTGCTGTAACGCGATTTTTGCTTACTATTTCTCCAATTTTGTGGTATTAACTGTGAATATGGTAAAGAAGAATATCTCCAAGAAGCGTTCTGTTGATCGCATTCCCGGTGATGATCGTAAAAGAAAGGCTATAACACTTGAAGAGAAGCTCGATGTTATCAGCCTCAAAATCACCCTTCTCCCCCATCAAGTTATATTCATATTTCTTCACGGTAAAGTGTTACATTTACTGAATGATTTCCTTATTACATATGAATGTAACATTTATTTAGACTGTGCTAACCTTTGTGTTAGGCTAACTACTAAATTTTTTTTGATTTCGAGTAGTAATCTACACCTAACCCTGTTTTCTCCATAAGCCCTGTTATTTCTATTACGTGAATTTCTATAACACGATGTTTTACAAGAACACAACTATCGCGTTATAGCAGAACTGACTGTACAGTACTGTCTATTGGAAGAAGGTTCGTGTTTATTTCAGAATGATCGTCTCTTTCCTAATGGACAGATTTATCATTGAATCTTATCATAGTTACTTTATTGTATGCCTAATATTACCAATACAGTAGATTTTCTTTTTCCTTTTGCATTATACGGGGTATTTTTATTTATTTATTTTTTCAAAAACCTTAGATGATTACTGTACTGTGTTTTAAGACGTGCAGTAAACAGGAACTTAAAATTCATTGTGAAGAACATTTGTGATATGATCAGACTTTATTTATACTGATTTTTAGGTTCCTGTTTATTGCACTTCCTAAAATATAGTAGTAGTTGTTTAAGGTTCACAAATAAAAACGCTGACTCTGTTGTATTAGTTTTTTCTTAATTATTATACGGTATGTGATTCCATCTGTATTTTAGGAGTGCATATACTGTACTTTAGCTCTCATTAACATGTATCTCTGACCTTTTTCAGCATGATGTCTTGTAATATGTACAGGACAGTAAATCCTCTATTTAAGTTGGTCCTAATCACAGTACTGAACTGTACTACATTGTTTCAATAACCATTACCAATATAATAGGGAACAAATTCTGTTTAAACTCTGCTGTTTTTAAATTGACTTCATTTCTTAAAATTTCACATTTCACGCGCTGCTGTCAATGTTTTGAGCAGACTGTAATAACTATTTTCTCCACCATATCTGATGAGTGTTAAATTATCTTTATATCGCAGAAATCTTATTTTCATGCTTAAATAAGGCGTTGTTAGATTTGTTTTGTGATTTCATATGAAATAAGAGACTTAGAAAAGAAAATATACTCGTAGTTGTGTGTGTGCCAGCCTGCTGTGATCTGCTGTATTGTTACTGTTTGGCACTACAGATATTATTGATAATTATTTGGTTATTCTTAAATATAATTATTGTTTGCCATTCCTTTGTTTACTAAATATGTAACAATTCAACAAACCGCCTTGAAATGTTTAGATTCCCGGTGAATCGGCTGCTTGTGCAATTAACCAGTCCGTTCACATATATTTATATTTGGGTTTTAAGTAACGAAACCCAAACGGTAGTTCCTTTGTTTTATTATAAAAGGTTGTATATATAATTCCTGAGTGTAGATCAACCGTAAGTCTCACTGTCTAGGAGTGAATGAGAAGGGGACGGCGTTTATGTATTATAAACGTTAGGTCACGTCCTTACGATATAAGTTGAGGTGAGCTACTGACTGTGACGACCTCGCAGTGCGGGTTTACAGAAATGCTGAGCTATGGGTCTCGCCCTCTTGGGCGAGTTGCCCGCTCACGTGTCCAACTCATGTCTTACTCATAGACAGTGGAAAGTTACAGGGGGTGAATCTGAATATAATCTCAGATGTATTGACCCATTTTTATAATATGTTCTGTTGATGAGACAGGGGCCTATTACACCGGTTTAAGTTACAAAAGAGTGAAAATGGTCTAGAAAACATACGAATTAAATTTAGTGGCATCTCTGCTAAGGGGCCGTAGCCAGACTCATCCGGTACAACTTATCTATTGAGAGAAGATAACACTTGCTCAGACTTCCATATACAGCATTATAGCAAGGATAACACAGTACTGATTATATGCTCTTGATCTGAACTAATAAAATCTTCAATATTTTCAGTATATTGGGTTTCTGTCCACATTAATGATATTATTTATGTTTGATAGACTTGTTATAACACTGTACTGTATATATTTTGGTTCAGTACTTATTTATTATTTTTTCTGAGAACTCGTCCCCAATTTATACTATTAACCACTTGTGTATGGGGTCACCTCTCTGCTGAATAAAATCATCTGGCATTGGTCAAATAAGATATGAAAAGTGGCATCCCAGTAGTGGAGGGATTAAGTCTATGGGAAAATACCTTACATACAGATTTATGTCATTTCGTCCAATGTCGCCTTTTCTAGGAATGCATCCACAACATCAATAGAGGACATGCTGTATTTGTTTCATATGCTTGCTAATTACTTTGTAGATTTATAATAATTTTCATTCTACCAAAACTTTATTTATAATTACGTGTAAACAATTTCAGTTCCACCACCCTTTGCCTGGCCATCCAATGCAACAAGAGACTTAACCATCTACATAAAACCAAATCGGCCGACTGTTCTCCTCCAGCCTAGTAATTTCTGCAGTCAACCACCATTTTTACTCTTTGTAGTCCCCAGTGCCATAAATGACACCAAGCAGAGAGAGACCATTCGGATCACCTGGGGCCAGTGGACTAATCATGCTGTGTCGAGGAAACTTTATGTGGAAGAGAAATCACTTCGTAAAAATAATGGTAACAAAATACATCGGCCATATATATCTGATATGAAGGTCACCACACCCATGGAGTCCAAACTCGTCTTTCTTCTTGGAATGGCTCGGGGGGGAAATCCAATAAGTAACGCAGTACAGGAGGAGAGTAGGATATACGGAGATATCGTAGTTGAGGAGTTTGTGGATTCTTACACAAACTTGACCCTCAAGTCCGTGTTCATGCTCAAGTGGGTGCATAACAATTGTCCGGGTGCTAAATTTGTCATGAAGGTTGATGATGATATTTTTCTTAATGTTCCAAACCTTCAGCGTACCCTCCTTAACAAGACGATAACAAAGATTCCACATCTAACTGGCACCCTCATATGTGGTGCGAGGCCAATCCATGATCAGTGGTCCAAGTGGTACAGCCCCAAGTACATGTTCCGTGAAGGCAAGTATCCGAATTACCTCTCGGGAACTGGGTATGTCTTCTCAGGAGACTTGGTTAAACCACTTTTAGATGCTGCTCTCTCTACTCCTTATTTTCATTTGGAAGATGTTTTTATAACAGGAATATGTGCAAGGAAAGTTGGTGTTCATCCAAAAGACAACTTAGGTTTTAGCTTTTATCCTCGAGCAGTCAGTCCATGTGTATACAAGGAAGCCATCTTGGGTCATGGGGTTAAACCTTCAGAGATGGTCAAACTGTGGAATATGCTCAACCAGCCAAAAACTGTAGCCAGGTGTAACGGTGAGAAGAAATCAAAATATTTGAGAAAAGATCTAACAACTTGTTCCAAAAGATGAAACCACTTCAGAAGTTTCAAATTCTTAGGACTATGTAGAAAAAATGATGATCACATAAGAAATTGTGCCATTTTCACCTTGTTGGCAATGCATTATGGTATCTTAAGCAATATTTCTTTATGGCTCATGGTAACTAATCAGCTATGAAGAACTATAAAGAAAGGTTTGATAAGGTTCAAGTGGCTGTTTTATAATAGTAAAGCGTTTTTTAAATTGCTATAATCTGGTGAGTAAGTCATTTTTTGCACCAATAATTTTTTTTAGAAAATTGTACTCGGCAGCAGCAGCTTTTAAGTATCCTAAACGTAATACAGGTAATGAGTGCCATTTTCTTCTCTACGCACACACATTAATGCCTCACTCCTTATTGCTGTGATACTCCTTGCAGAAAATCATTGTGTTTTAAGTAACATACCTATTTGTTCAGTGGTTTTTAAGTTCATATTCAAGTCAGACTGGATAATACATTATTGTATTGTCTCGTTTAGCAGTTTTATTGGCATCTGTTAGTGGTGTACTGTATGTTGACTGAATCTACATTGTCTGATCCATCAGAATCTCACTTAAAAATATTCCAACAATCACTAACTGCGATAACATAAAAATATCTCGGTTAAAAATAAGTCCAGAAGATGATCTACACGTATATTGAAATCATGTAAACATGGTTTTAATTCTAGTCCCAAGTCTAGTATTTGATATTGACATAGTTTAATCTCCTAGTCTTAATAACTAAAGGTCTGTTGTATATTTAAAGCATATGTAATATGCCCTATATTTCAACAGACCTATAAATAATACAAAAGTTTTTAGTAAAATGTATATTAAAAACTTGAAATTGGTGCTTGCCAGGAAATTCTCAGAATATTAATTCAATAAGTGATACCCACTCCTTTAGTTGTATGTTTAGCTCCCCAGACAGCTTGGTACTGTATGACTTACTGGTAGAGTCCAGTTCCTTTAGTGTTAAGATAAAACTGTCAAACTATCTTTAAAAGGTATTGGATAGAATGTAGTAGCAGGTTGACAATCCCTTATCCGAAATTCCAAAAACCGGAAACCTCTAGGGGGGTGGGGGGAATGTAGTACCTGTAGTGTAGTAATAATAATAATAATACAGTAATAACAATAATAATAATCATTCATAGTAAATAAAAATTCATAATAAAAAATACACAAAAATAAAATAATAATGATAACAATAATAATAATAACAATAACAATATTAATAAAATAATAATAAAGAATACAAGAATGAGAAAAAGGTCCAAAGTGAGAAACATGACCTATGAATTATAATTATTATTAGCCTGTACTATATTTTTGCTCCCCAGGCCCTGATGTGGGTCTGTGACCTGTGCCTGGGTGGGCTAATCCCCGTAAAAAAAAAATAACCTAACCTAACCATTCTGAAATCCAAAAAATTCCAAAATCCGAAACACATCTGGCCTCAAGGATTTCGGATAAGGGATTGGCAACCTGTAATTAAATTTTGTCAGAAAGCTTAGTAGAGGTCACACAAGTAAAATTGAGTACTCTAAATATTAAACCTGTGATGCACAAGGGTTAGCAGTGCACTCAGTCACCTTCACTTCCTCAACTGCATAATTCATTAGCCATTTTAGAACAAAAGATGCGAGCCATAGCCACTCCATGAACAACTTCTAACAAATGTTATTGTGGTAAATTATGTCTCACTATTTCTAAGAGAAGAATCCTTGTGAAACTAGATATTTTTTTATGTTAATAAAGTTTTCTATAACATTGAATATATTCAGAAAAACAACTTTGTGTTTGGTCTTTGTAACACTTGTCACTACGGACTGATGGAGTGGCTGGGGAAGTATAGCCTCAATATTAGTTAGTGTAGGAATTGGGGGTTGAAAAGTGGCCATTACTTTATCATTAAAATAACTTTTAGAGGAAGAAAACTGTCTCAGTGTGAAGTTGAAACTCATAACCAAAAAGCCTTAAATTTTAACGCTGTAAAGTTATGTACAGTACTCGTATATTCAGACCAGAGTAACTCAAGTGGTTTCCCAAATACCTTATTTCATTTTTTATTTTATAGTATAGAAAGGTCTTCAGGAGGAGGGATTGAAATTTTATTCACAATTATATTATTTCTTTTCTTCATATAAATATTGTAAATACTTTATATTTTATTATGTTTAGAATTGATAGGCAGCCTTATACTTTTGTCCAGTGTTTCATTATCAGCAAAAAATATTAAACAGTTTACGCTACATTATTTTATGGTAAATGTGTCATTTTGTACAATCTGTCTCAAACTCTTTATGTTTGTAGCCTGTAAGTACTGTATTACAATGCCTTACATTTAAGAAGTAGGACCCCATGCAGATCTTCTTAAGTCACTTTGGTCACACTCTGCCTTCCTAGGTGTTATTGCAACAGTGACTCATAAAATTTATTCTCTAACAATTTTATAACCCCATGAGTCATCAATATGTCTTATGAGTTCTTGAGCACTTTAACACCTAGCAGAGTATACCATAACTCTGAGGGCTCTTGTATGTTTAGTGGCAGGATATAGTATACAGGTAGTCAATGAGCTGTGTTGTAAAGCAGCCCCCGTAGAAGATGGAGATGTACCGGGTAACAAAGGATTCTGTATTTGTCCATTGATCTTAGGACTATTTGGTCTATAACTTGAAATCTATCTCGCTTATCCAAAGTAAACCTCGTTTGTAACTTGACTAACAGGAAGGGGTTTCATGCCTTTGAGATTATAAGGTCAAGGTTACTGTATTTAAAAAAGTCATAACTTAATATTTACAATGTTAATCATCATGACACTTCATACAATGGTGCTCCCTGCAAAAGCTAAGCTAACCATGTTTACTCTTGTATGCTACTAAGAAAAAGGCTAAAAAAATTCTCTGGTAAAGGAGCTGCATTACCAGGGCCGGTTTAAGCTTAATAGGGGCCTGAGGCACAGATCAACTTGGGGCCCCCTACCCTCAAGGTATATACTGTGTATATATATATTGCAAGAACAAAATATACCAAAATTTATCAATGATTTCATCAATATTAAGCTTCTGCAAAATAACACATTCAATGTTCATAAGAGACAGAAAATTGAGACGCTGCTAGGACATTGTTGAACGAAGTTCATGTTTTATATGCTTCAACTTCGAGAAGGTTTGGATTTGGGGGCCCCTTAGAGTCGGGGGGCCTGAGGCCAGTGCCTCATGGTTAGTCCGGCACTGCATTGCAACCACTTGGATAGTGTAACCTGCCACTAAACATGCCAGTGCTTTCTGGGTAATAGCAAGTCTACCAAGAGGTGTTTTAGTGGTTTGAATCTCAGGACACTTATTTCTTACCCTCAGCTATAAAATTGGATTTCATTCTTCAACCCAATATTTCGTGCATTGATTTGGAAATTGAATCAGTTGGCTTCTGCTTGTGCCATCATGACTGAATATGTTTTACGGTAATTAGAGATTATATTAAGGGTGCCAAATGAAGCTGCCACTCCTGTAGAGGGGAAGCCACAAATGGCAGGCATTAAAGTATATGTTTCTGTGTGTTTATATATGTCCAGTTTTGTGAACTACATAACTGGAACAAATAGCCAATGTTTGTGCATATGCATTGGGTTGTGAGCTAGCATGCATGTGTGCTCATATGTGTACAGTATTTGCAGCTCTTCTGTACATGAGAAAGGGAGAGAGAGGTTATGTGAGTGTACTCAGAGGACAAGGATACATTATTACACATTGTACCTGTCCTGCAACACATTTTAAATGAGACCTACAGTTAAGGATAATTCTAATGTCACAATAATGAATATGAGTACAGGTACTGGTTGGGGCCAAACAGTGGTCTGTGAGTTTGAGGACACAAGTTAAGGTCACAGATATTGTTGTACTCATTGTGATGCTCATAGTTCCCTGGTGGGCAGTGAGGTGTTCCTCCTAGAGAAGGGAGATCTGTCTGCTGCTAGCTTTTATTTACTTAAAATTTTTAGGATTGTCATCATCTTCATCTTCGTTTTACGGTCATTTTCCACTCTTGAGTTTTGTGTGGGATGCCAGTTCTCTTTAATATGGGAGAGGAATCAACCTGAACCCAATTTATTGTGTTATCTTTAGGTACTGTAATGGTGAAAGGGAGTATAATAATTATTAATTTAGTGGTACAGTGGTCCCTAGGTTAACGAGCACAATCCGTTCTAGAAGGTTGCTCGTTAACCGAAACCATTGTTTCAATGGGTTTTTGGGTAATTGGTTCCAGCTTACCGAAAATTGCCTAAATTCAACCAAAAAGGTAGAAAAGTACACTTACTTTGAGGTGTGTATGTAGAAGGCTCCTGGATGATGATGATGATGATGGGAATTAGAATGGGGGTGGAGGAGAAGGGAGAAGAGAAGGCATTGGGGTGGAAGAGAAGTCACCCCATGGTGCCATTTCACCCATAAAGTTTTAGTTCTCTTGGTGTAATTCAAGATTATTTTCTTTAAATCAACACTGCACTGCATTATATATTGTCAATATGTAAAATAAATTTCAAAATGATCAATAATTTGCTTGCAAACACAGAAAAAAAGCGTTTAGTTGAAGAGAGTCTCAAGCAAGATGTTACCTCCACTGAAAAAACACAAAGACTGACGCCTGTATGCTGTGTTGGCAGGCTGGATGGCGTGCCACAAACTAGTGACCCTACCTTCAATTATGTTCAATAATTGTTAAAATTACTAAAAAAATTAATATTAAACTTTTACAATTTTTGAATAGTATAAACTTCTTGATATTTGCTAAAATGGTAAGGAATTTAAGCCCTAGAACCGATTACTGTATTTGCGAACTAATACTACAGCTGGTGAACCGCCAAATGCAAGCGAAAACATGTTCAGGTTGGCTCGTAAGAAACTCGTTAATCGAGGGATTGCTTGTTAACCGAAGTTAAGAATCTTATGGAAGGTAACTTGTTAACCGAAATCTCGTTAACCGAGGCACTCGTTAACCGAGGGACCACTGTATAAAGGTTTCAAGAAGTGTTCCCAAACTAAACTAGTGTACAGTCATTTCTGCAACAACGCGTGTTTTGTCAATGCGAATTGGCTATGACGCTATTGATGAATAGAAGAACGATATTTGTAAAACGCGGACGCGTGTTGGCTGTAACACGATTCCACTCAAACGTTTTAAGTGTACTGCCGCTTGGCGCGGGGTTATGCAGTGTTTACAGTTCACGCTCGACATCACTTGTTCAATTGATTCATGTGGGGGTTTTTTAAGTGTTATTTGATAGGGACTCTAAATTTCATCCTTTTTTATGCAAATTTAGCTGTTCCCATAAATACTGTATGAAAAAAATAAATAAAAATAATGTTTCGCATTGCGGACTAATAGCGTTTTACACCCACGCTCTCTGTTTCCATCACACGATCAGTTGAAACATGTGGGTTGTTTTGAAGCGTCCTCAGTGATTTTTTGCTTACTATTTCTCCAATTTTGTGGTATTAACTGTGAATATGGAAAAGAAGAATATCTCCAAGAATCGTTTTGGTGATCACATTCCCGGTGGTGATCATAAAAGAAAGGCTATAACACTTGAAGAGAAGCTTGATGTTATCAACCTCAAAATCACTCTTCTCCCCCATCAAATTATATTCATATTTTTTTAAGGTAAATTGTTACATTTACTGTATGATTTCATTATTAGATATGAGTGTAACATTTATTTAGACTTTGCTATCCTTTGGGTTAGGCTAACTACTAAATTTTTTCGATTTTGAGTAATCTGCACCTAACCTAATTTTCTCCATAAGCCCTGTTATTTCTATTGCGCGAATTTCTACAATGCGAGGTTTTACAAGAACACAACTGTCGCGTTTTAGCAGAACTGACTGTACAGTAGTGGTGAAAGTATATTTCTGTCTCTCATTTTAGAGGACTTAAGAAGATATGTACTTTCATAATAAGAAAGTGTATTCATAAAATATAGAAGAGCACTATAAGGCAGTATATATCTGGCACTCATAAATGAATATATTATAACCTCATACTGGATAATCATTACATGAAAATTCATTCATTGTCACAATTTTTGTAAATGCTGATCTTTTTACTCTTGGTAGAGAATCTAGTGAAGTAATAAATAG